ATTTAAAAATAATTACTGAAAGAAGAAAAATAATCGAGGGTCTTTTCTCCCACAATAATCAATACTGATGTTTTACCTTGTTAAAAGAATATGATATGGTACATATAACGAGATTATAGCCCTTGTTACAAGGATATTTACGAATATTAAACGGTAAAGGAAACCTCACCCCAAGAAATAACTTTACTTATTCTGAGAGATTTATTATATTTTTGACCATTAACTACAAGATTCCCCACCAAAGTGTTTGAGAGAAGCATAAAGCAAAAACAATGTCAGTTTCTCAGCACGACATGGGCATCGCCATTTCGTGATATGGCGACGTACTATGTGTATTATTATATAAAGGGAATCTTAATCACAAGCATAATGCTTCCAAGGTTTCCTCCTCATTACTGTAGATTATTGTTAGCATCATTTGTATTTAATTACCTACATAAAATCATTTTGACTGTAATACCACCTATCTGTCGAATATTTTTTTGTTACCTTGTATATGCGTTACTTTGTAAATTCTTGCATATGCAGTTAATGTGGAAATAAAACCTTAAAAAAAAAAATTAATTGGTGCTTCCTTCCCATGTGGTTAATGAGGCATTTCATTCACCTGCTATCATCCTTTGTACTCCCGCCCCCCCCCCCCACTCAGTGTTTTTTAGGGCACGCATATGCTCGTTTCCTCTTTTTGAAAGCACCCCTATCTGAGGACTGCCAACATTTCCAAATCCCCCTTTCGCGGGCTTTTCGCGGGCTTTTCCTGCCTTGGAGACCCCCTAAATCAGGAAAAATGCTCAATGTACCCCCCTTAATTCGGAATAATTTCTCAGGAGTCCAAAGAGATGAGAGAAAAAAAGAAAAAAACACCCCCTATTTAAAGAAACCTCCGGGTGAAAAGTCAAATACACCCCTTTTTTACAATTCTCGGGCCGGACTTTGTCGCACTAAAAGTACCCCTTTTCCGGACATTTTGGCAACATGCATGCGGTCATTCCGACCCCTGAGTTGGGGGGGGGGGGGGTTGTACTACAATTGCTAGAACTCAAATTGCATACATTGAAGCTTTTCTGGGGGTGAAGTTTCTAATAAATGAAATAGATTTGTCGATTGCTATATTTTAGTGTTTTTAAACTTCTAAGCTATGATTTTTGCTCATTGAAAAATAAAGGTTTTGTTATTGATTTATAAGTCTTTCCAACTAAAACTTGATGCATGTGTCATGCACCACTTCAAATGATCACTGAAAAAGCATCACACCATGCCAAGAATATCTTCATTTATATATCTCTTGTACATTTTCTTAAAGGAATCCGTAACTTTGTCTTAGATCCTTTAACAAAATCCTTGATTTAGCTCATGCTGCAATGATAATTATAAACCTTGAGGTCGCCATATCACAGACACTAGTAACACGTAGGGCCGTGCATCTCAGATTTAACATTGTTAAACGACCCACCTATTCTTTGGGGTGAGGTTTCCTTTAAAAGTTAGTTTCTGTTTACAGGTTTAATACTCGATGTGAAATCAAATCGTGATTTTTATCCATGGGGTATATTATAATTGAAGTAGTTGGGTAATTGACTTAAGAATTGAGGTAATTAAAAACAACTCCAAAGAAACAAAAACACACACAAAAAAGAACAAACAAAACAACAAACAAATAAACAACCCGATTTCAAAAGTTTTCAATTAGCGTTCTTAATACGTATATCATTAGGTCATCATCATTTATTTCCAATTAATTCTTGGTCAACAGACGCAGTTATTTTTCAGGATAGAAAACAAGACTTGAACAAATTAACGCTAACCTTTTTCAGCTGCCCCTAAAGTTACGAAGAGAAGAAGAGCGACGATTTTCGAATCCATCGCGAAGTAGCTTCTGAATCAAACTTTCCACTCTGGCTCAGATTATGCTCCTTTATAAACCATATCTAGAGTGAAGCCGGAAACTAACTTTCCATGCCCAATGAGGACAGTTCTTGCTGCCTATCATAAATCCGGCCAAAACTCCAGCAAGATTTTGCTTTGCCCTAGCCGGCTTCCATGATCAACTTCAAATTCAGAATAACGAAATTGCCAATTTGCTGCTGTGTTTGGTACAGTTCGGTACGGGAAAAAAAACAACCCCATTTCAATTATTGCGCAATAACTGATCCAGCGACCAAGGTAAACAAAAAACTGATCGTGACCTATAAAATTGTCCAATAATATTCTAGAGTAGGCTACATGTTTATCCAAATATGAAATGAAGGTGAGTGTGTGTGTGTGTGTGTGTGTGAGAGAGAGACTAATATAGAAATGATGTGAATGAATGGGGGGGGGGGGGGTCGCGGCATCTTGTGTTCAGAAAGACAGGATATACCTTTTTTTTAAAGGGGGCGGTGGTATTCACGAAGTGTGCTCCTGGCTCCTTACACTGAGAGACAATGAAGGGGGCCATCTAGACTTAAAAAACTCCCAATTGCTTAAGGAATAATTCCTCGAATATTTTGGTCCTCTCCATCCCTCCGTTTCTAAGACAGCATGGAAGGGGTTGAAGTGATTCCTAAAATCACGTTCCTGAAAAAAACCTCATCTTTAGAAAACTTCGCTGGATAATTTTGATAGAGGTAGAGGTAGAGGTAGAGAGAGAGAGAAGAGAGAGAGAGAGAGAGAGAGAGAGAAACAAAATAGATATGACTGATCACTGAAAACCCAATGAATCATTCCTCAAATATTTCTAGGAATCAGGTGATATCCAGGGCCGTATCCCTCTCCTTTTCCTCATTTCATACCCTTATAACCCAATGCACACTCCGACTTCAGTCCTAGCCTCTAAAAGAAATTAAAAAAAAACAAGAAATCAACATACAAACAATGAAACTAACACAAACTGAAGAAAGCCCCACCCCCTCTAGAATCTGAATATCACAACATCAGCAGAGGATCCGAAAATATCATTTATGATGAAAACCTAACCATTTACAATCCTAATATAGTCACATGACGTTGGCCTAAAGTCGCAATGACAGTATATTGTGAAAGGTTGTGAAAAGTAAACAGTGGTTTGGGCATGTGACTATAGATGGAAGAATAGCTTGGCCGAAACGCAATTTTGCAAGGAGGAACTACTGAGAGAACAAAAGAGGGGCAGACTCAACGGTGCCAAAGCTACGAAACACAGATTTTGTCAATTCTGTTTGTTGCTACGGTAGGCAGCCAGTGAAAACTAATTCGTTAAATAAAATTATGGAAATGCAAGCATTATTTTAAACAAACAAAACTGTTTTATTCCTAGCTCGTTTTCCTGACTGAGGTGTCATATGAAAGGGCAGAAAATGAACTTTCTAGAAGTGATTTTCTCTTTGAAATTCAGATACCGTCCGCCAAATGACTTTTCGTTACCCTTTCTTCAAATCAAATTCAATCACTCATGCGTGAAATAAAGCAAGCATCATATGTGTTGCATCAAATGTAAGAGCAGGATCTAAGCTTTACAAATATGTGTCATTAATTAATTACAATCGTGATCAATTTATGATAAAACATCGATAATTATCCGTTTCGTTTTTTCTGGGACACACTGTATATAGGGGTATTTACTCCCGAATGGTATTTCCACATAGTCCGGTGTCATCGAATAATGACCTCCTGCACATGATAACTGACTACCATGCATCTCCCTTTAAAATGATAATTCTCATTTTTGGTTTGTACATATTTCGTGTATTACGTAGGAGATTGCTTTTGTTTGTTTTTTCTTCTAGTTTTACAAGTAGTTTACAGTAATGACAGATGTTTGATTTGTAAAAAGAATATGGAATGATCAAAAAATTAGAATTGTTATACTAGAGTTGACAGACGTCAAAGAGAAAGACGGAGAGAGGAGGAAACAGGAAGAAAAGGGGAAAGAGGGTCAAAGACGGAGGGAGAGAGAGAGAAAGTAAGAGAGGGGGAGACAGAGAATTTCGTGTTTTTTTTTGGGGGGGGGGGGGATTTCCTTGACAAATGCTTATTTCAATGAAAATTATGGAACATTAAATTTTTTCCCATTGTTAAACCCACCAATCCCATTTTCGAAGAATTCGCAATAACATTATTATGATACGAACATTCAAACATGTAAAATCTAAATGACAGAGGATCTGAATAGCCATATGATCAAGAAAATCTAAATTTCAATGGTTTTCATGCTTCCTTGTTAGGAGAAAATAGCTCAGAATCTTAATGACGTCACATCAGTACTGCAATCATCTTCGATTTGAGCCAATTCGGCTTTTATTCTAAGTAGAAGAGTTTATGTATTCTAATCATAATTTTGAAGCTAATTCAAGAAGATTTTTGTTTAGATTTCCTATCAAATACAATGGTAATTTCTTCGAACATCAGATCGCGGGACGATCGTGTAGTGTGCGGTTGGCTTTAGACTCTTTAGGCTGGTTCAGACATGAAGCGGTAAACCACCATAATTTTTTTTTTTAAAGCTGCAGCTTTTGACGTGTGAATGAAGGGTAATTGCACGCAACAAAAGACTTGTGCATATTCACTGAGCTCTAAGCTATATACATGTTAGATATGTTAGATGCATGTACATAAATGTGAAGTGTTTTACGCTTAACGTCATCATAAAAAAAAAGAATGCAGCGGATTTGCTGCGTCATATCTGAACGAACCCTTGGTATGGTATTTATAGGAGAACATAGTAAAATGCACTCTTGCAGTAGACCTGTTTAATACGAATGTTATCAATTTATGCATGTTTCTCTTCCTAACCTCTGATTACCAGCAGTTTAATTCACCTGCTATGAATAATGGCATCTCTTGGGATAAAATCTATTTTGAATATATTAGTTGTTGCTATGATGGACAAGAGTCTGGCAAGTATTTTAGTTATCAAGAGAGTATTTTGCTTTAAAAAAATATGCATAATAATAGTAAACAGGTCTACTGATATTGAGTGATGGAAAAACTTTGAGTAGTCCTAGAACATGTATATTACAAAAAAAGACTTAACATTTGTCAAATAGTATGCAGATTTCCATTTTATTTATTGCATTTGTGATCTGTAAAAAACATTGATTCATTCACCATTGGTATAAAAATAAATATTTGCATTCATTAAAAAGATACCAGCAAGTTATCCTGACACTTAACTGTTCCAGTGAAAGACTTTATCAAATAAACAAACAAGAAGCAATGCCTGATAAACATCACATCTTGTCTCGACTGACTTCTAAACTTTTATATAAAAAGATATGGATATTGTTTCACGAAACCGTCATAAGTTTTGGCTCTTCGGCATTCCACTGAAACAAGCGGTAGTTTTAATTGATGCATTTCAATGAAGAAAATTGAACTCGGTTTTGTGAAACCCTGCCCTGTACTGTACATTCATTTCAGAAGAAACAAATCAATTCACACATACACTGTACCACCTCACTAGCTGTTAGAGACTGCATCATGTAGACACCGAAATATTGAACTTTGAAGTTTTTCTGAAATGAAGTGAAATCTTGCTCCCACATAAGGAGGATGTATTGCAGGAATACCATTGTAATTAACATTTGTGAGTACTGGTATACACAAATCTTTATTCAAAAGTTTCATTGCAAGGCATCGGTGTACATAGTGTAAATCTACTGTGCATAAAATGAAGACCTCTCAGAAATAAGAGGACAATTGGTTTTTAAATTGTATAAACTGCATTATATACAACCCCTTACTTCTAAATTAAAAAAATATTCAAGCTTTCACATGTTTAATTTCTTTAAGACATCATTACAGTTCTAATCTATTTCAGTTTCGGTGATACATAAAAAAAAATGATACAAATATTCAACCTTACAATATTTTTTTGAATAACGTTCTGTTTACTAACATATCATCTCTTTGGAGCCAGAAGGGCGTTAACTCTATGATAAGTACATGTATATGAGTTAATGTCCTTCTAGCATCAAACAGACAATTTGTTATTAAAACACTACACAACAATTAAGGCCTAGTGTAGAGAACAATTTATTGTAATCAGACATAGGTTTATATGTATATGCCTAGCTATATAGAGTACTGTTTCCATATATACATAAATATAATGAAAACCTAATCCATGTCAATTAGTCTCAAGTTCTGGAAATGGACCTGCATTTATCATGAGATAATAATCATATCCATTATCATATTCACTGGAAAGTATAACATGCTCATATACACCAAAAATATATGTTTATTTTTCCAGTGCCTAAAAATCGAATCTGTTGTAATAAACCTTCTTTAATGGATTAGATTCAAATATCATATGCCATTATTACTATTAATAAAAAAAGAAAGAAAAAAGAAGAAGAATATTGTGAAATTACACTAATATTTATTGCAGGCTTCTTAATTTTATTTCAAGATGAACTTGTAACTGCAGGTCATCCCTAAATTCTTGAAGAAAGAAAAGAAAAAAAAAATCTATTTTGGGATTCCGAAGTTGATGTCACTCTCAATACCACATTCATTGCTGCCACGAAGGATCTTGAAAAATCCTACAATAAAGAAATAAAACAAATTGAGAGTATTAAGGGTGACTAAAAACATACATCATATGATGATTGGGAGTAGTTAAAGTTAGTGCGGGACTCCAAAAAATATGCATTTCAAAAGAAACTGTTTGAAAATTATTTTGGAATACTGGTCATGTAGTAAATTATGAACATCCTCACGTATGATGTGGATATTTAAAACCAGCAGACTGTGAACAAAATTAACCTGTAGATAACCACATAAATGAACATATTGAAAAGCCAGAAGACAATAATTCACATTTCTGCAACTAAACAAAATCACAGTATATTATATCTCCATTATATTCATTTACACAAAACCAGTCACTTTCATAAGTACTAAACATAGCAAATGTTATAAAGCGCATAGAGAAACTTCTGTTTATTATGCGCTCAATAAATCTATCTTTATTATTATCATTATGACAGTTTGAGCCATTGTAGCTAAGAGCATATTAAAGTGTCCGGGGGGGGGGGGGGGGGGGGGGGGGGGGTCGGAGAGTGGTAGGTGAATAAATTATCACATGTAAAATGTAAAATGGGCACTCTGGGGTAGCAGAATCACACAACACTTATGCTTTTATTTCATTGTGTCCAGACTTTTAAGCTCACAATACTCTGGATTTCTTGTTCTCCCTATAAAGCTCAATACTCAGATTTGGTTTAGACGAGGTGTGCCGCTCAAGCCTCCAAACCTCTACCCATTTTTAAGGATGATTTTGGCAGATTTTATAGATTTTATAGGCAAACGCCCGAAAATATTGGAAAGACGGACCCATGTTTAGTGATATTTTTGTAAAAAATGGGACACATATTTAGGGATTTTTGTGTAAAAAGCGACCCCATAGAGTGACACATCCATGTATTTCTTAATATGTGAGTACCCCCCCCCCCCCATTGTCTGATGTTACCCCTTATGGCAATTTCTCATTTGCATTGGGCCCATGTGAATGGTATTTCATCACATGATGCACAGTGCATCACTCCAGGGCGCAGATTATTTCTGACAGAAATAATATCAATCATCTTCTTCAAATGAACGGGAGAGGCTTACCGTTATCGCCCCACTCGTTGTTCCAGGAGTTAGCTACCAGCCAGTACTTGGTCCCCTCCTCCACGCCCCATCCAAGGATCTTAATGGCGTGACCTCCAAGGACTCCTCCTGTAGTATGCTGATACACACCTGCCAGGTCAAGAGGTCAAAAGGTCAAAGATCATGGTCAGTTGTGGTTCGTTTGATACACCAGTTTACGGTTACAACAGTGCGCATGCGCAGACATGGGCACCATTTTATTAGATGGGTAAACAAACCAATGACCTCTAGAGGTCAGTGGCTTACGCGTAAATTAAGATAGCGCCCAAATGAGATGTGTGCACACAGCGCAGGCAGTGACGCAACCATACTTGCGCACCTGAAAACATTGATGACACTGCCTGCGCTGTGTACTCACATCTCATTTGCATGGGCGCTATCTTACTTTACGCGTAAGCCACTGACCTCTAGAGGTCATTGGTTTGTTTACCCGTCTAATAAAATGGCGCCCATAACCGTAAACTGGTGTATTATTAATGCATAGTGTAGTGAAAGAGATGATTGCTGGACGTGTACAGGAGCATGCATGGTCAGGGATTACATCACTGAGCTCTCAATAGGTCCCATCCACATACACTAGTTATGGAAGGGAACTATTGGAGGATCCATAAATGATTGCCCAATCAGTAGCAAAATCCGGAGATGTAACTATCGCTCTTAACTTAGCTTTGGTTTTAGTTTTGCCAGCCCTGTTAAAGATCATAAGTCCCTTATACAGCCAACATCAAATTCTGTAGAACTTTGCAGGAGTTATGAATATGTCATGTATGACCTATCTGTGAAATTTAAACATTAACAGTGTCCTATTAATAAAGTGACTGACTGACTTTCTTTGGTAATAACATACATAAAATGAGCTGTAAAGGAACATAAGCATTTGTCTACATCAATAACCCACGTACGACCATTCGGTACAAGGGTCTAAAAATCAGACTATTACTAAAATGATTGCAATTACGTAAGTCAATTTGACAACTAATGCTCGTTATTTTCCCACTAAAAGACATTTTCAAGCCCTTTTTTTTGGGGGGGGGGGGAAGTTTTAAATTTGTATTATCTTTCAAATGCCGTTGAAATTTAACCTTTTCATCTTTTGGGCCTGCAAATGGGAAACAGTACCATACCTTTAAGGTGGTGCCAGAGAAAGACGTATCCAGAATGCATGAATGTCAGTCATACTAGTGATTGCAAAGTTGTAATTTGACAAATTTAAACAACATTTTTTATATTACAGGTCTACTTATGGTTGAAGAGGTATTTTTACCAGGTCTCAGGTAATCATGGGAAATCATGGAATTTAAAAAAAAACTGGCCAAGGGTCTGTGAAACTTTAAAGAAAACCAAGACTGACCACTCTTGTAAGTGGGGAAGTCCTCGTAGACAGTGAAGTCGGCCTCCACCGGTCCGTTGGTCATGATCTCTGTCTGGGTGGCTTCGGGATTATTAGAGATGCTGTTAACACTCAGGGCTAGAGGATACAGATTAAAAGGGAATTGTAACATACATGAATATCAAGATTACATCATGAAAGACACTGTCTGGAATCAATGGACTGGTTTACTAACATATTCAAATGTGTGGATGTTTCTTTCCTGGGGACCTAGTGACTGTTAATGAATGAACTACACTACTTTGAATCCAGTCTGCACATATGCATTGTTGCTATGTAGGGCAAGCCTCAGGCAAGCTTTCAGGTTGTAAAGAACGTCCTCTGAATTTGAATATATTAGTAAACAGGTCCATTTGGAAGGGTTGATCAGTAGCAAAACAAGATATAGTGTTCACTGTTAGGTTTTGGAATCATCACAATGACAGGAAATTGATCCAATATATCTGAAAGTCACATGCACTTGCCGCAGGCAGAAAGTAGTATATGGGGGCTACACATGCATGTGGCATAAAAAGTATGGTCGAAAGTTGTCAACAACCAGAATTTTGGGTCATATTTTGAATACAAGCGCTTATGAATAGCAATCCGCTTTTCAGGGGACATGTACCGTATGTTTCTTCTGTGTTATTCTTCCAAGTTGACATTAAAAAAAGAATGATAAAGCTTACAAGTTGGTTTACCTCTACCACAACTCAACATTCTCTTTACTTGAACAATCTATGACTTTTTTCTTTAAAAGAAGAAGCAAACCAAATTTCTTCCATTAAAGTGACCATATGTTCTCAAATAATTAATTTTGTTGATATTAACTTCCTCATGTGACTCCTAGACCTATAAAAGTAGTATTTATGGAAACGTTTCTTTTCATGTGGTCTCATACTTATAAAATCATCCAAACAATTTCTTTGGAAATAAGTATATTAAATAAAAAATAAATAAAAAAAGAGTTGATTTGATTGTCATTGAAAATTCTATAGCCTGTATTCTACTATTTTTGTTAAACCAGACCGTAGGTCGAAGATCACACTTAAGAAACGACAACTTACATGTAGACCTCAAACTAATTTCTTTTGTTCAACCTAATTTTTTAAACGAGCTTGAACCCAGTAACAGGTTTGAAGGGATTGGGTAACTTTGTTTCAGATTCTAAAAAAAATCCTAGTTTTAGCTCATGCTGCAATCAAAATTATAAACCTTTAGGTCATACATGAATGCCATGACTTTTGCAAAATCTCACTCTCTTTGGCGATGTGCAAAATATGGCCATACTGGGTTTCCAACAGCTCTTACCATAGTGTTTATCCTGCTCGTAAGGAGTGGAGTAACTAGCTTCACACTTGTGCTTGCATTCAGGAGTTGGGCCCTCGCCCTGGCAGGGTCCTTTGGTTCCGTTGACGTGGTGATCACAGGATTTGATCTGGTAGGGCTGGCAACCCTGACTGCTGTTCCACTGACCCCCTGTCACTATACCAGTATCCTTGTAGTATTCCCAAGCAGAACCTGGGAATCCTCCATTACACCTAGAATTAGACAAAGACATAGACATAATAATTAAACCTGAGATGTCAGTTAGAATTGATCAGGGCCTGAAAATCACCTAGAATTAGCTATTTTGTACACAAAAGAGTCTAAACTATGGTCTGAAAATAACAAGCCAGGGCCTGAATTCAGGCTATTGCCTGAAAACTAGCATCCCTGTTAAACTAAATAAAAATAAAATAATAATAATAATAATCATAAGCAATAGTACTTTTTGCTAGCATTCACATTCCTTATCTTTAACACTTTAGTTGCTTTCTCTACCTCTCTGCACAGACCCCTGTTTCCTAGCACATGTAATTTTGCACAAACAATAGAAACCAATTGACAGAAAGATGCTTTGTGTAACACAATGGCTTTGACAAATGACACATTTCTTGTCGTGAGCTCCATGACAATCTTTTACTACAGACAGGGGCGTCGCCTAAGAGGGGGGGGGGGTGTGGGGGGTTGCGACACCCCCCACCTGTCAGGATATTGTCGGTAAAATTGCGCTGCCGTCGGGAAAAAGAGAAAAGGGGGAGGGAAAAAAGAGAGGGAAAAAAGAGAGGGAAAAAAGAGAGGGGAAAGAAGAGAGGGGAAAGAAGAGAGGGAAAAAAGAGAGGGAAAGGGAAAGAAAAAAAAAAGAAAAGGAAAAGAAAAGAAAGAAAGGAAAAGAAAGGAAAGAAAGGAAAAGAAAGGAAAGAAAGGAAAGAAAAGAGAAGAAAGAAAGAGAAAAAGAGGGAGGAGGAAAGAAAGAAAGGAAAAGAAAGAAAAGAAAGAAAAGAAAAAGAAAGAAAAAAGAGTGAAAGGGAAACAATAGAAACGGGGGATGAAAGAGAGGACAGAAAGGGGAGGTAAGAGTCTGAGAGAGGAGGAGTGGGAGTAAAAGAGAGAAGGGGGTTGTTGGGTGGAGTCGTCTTGTCGAGGGAGCAAGAAAGACACAGGTAAATATGTTGCTGTGTCGGGTCAGCTTTGTCAGTATTTTTGCTCGATCCTCGTGTACTACAACAATGCAGAAGTTTGAAGTCGGTAAGATGTATATTGTCGGTCGACCGACAATATACATCTCTCCCTACGAACTGTGACTTCTTATCCACTGTGACGACTTTGAGAGTGACTACAACTACAATACTTGTATTTTCTCGAAGATTCACTTTCCTATAATATTAGCTAAAGAAATCAGAGGTTTAAAATTTTTGGGGAAACTAAATTCAAACAAGTTTTAAAAGTCAACAACGGTACAACGAATCGTCTTCCTTTCTTTATATTGTGATTCCGCGCTTCGTGCGGAAGGGGAAACTCCATTTAGACGAGTCAAGAACGGTACAACGAATCGTCTTGCTTCTCTAATAATTAAAGGAAACGCCTTAGCTTCCGCGCTTCGTGCGAGAGGGGGAAACTGAATTCAGAGGAATAGGACTTATTTAGAGTCGAAAACGGTACAACGAATCGTGTTCTTCTTTCTCTAATAATTTGAGGAAATGTCAAAGCTTTCGCGCGAGAGGGGGAAACTGAATTCAGATGAATAGGGCTTATTAAGAGTCGAAAACGGTACGACAAATCTTCTTCTTTCTCCAATAATTTAATGAAATGTCAAAACTTCATTTAGACGAGTCAAGAACCAGTCAAGAACGGTACAACGATTCGTCTTCTTTCTCTAATAATTCAAGGAATCGTCAAAGCTTCCGCACTTCACGCGAGAGGGGGAAAACTGAATTCAGCAAAATTAATAGGGCTTATTTAGAGTCGAAAACGGTACAACGAATCGTGTTCTTTATCTAATAATATGAGGAAACGTCAAAGCTTTCGCGCTTCATTGTCTTTTCACCCACACCCTTGCAGTCTTGCACCCACACCCCCCTAATGAGCGCGATTTTAAGTGATTCTCTTGCTCACTACCGCCCCTCCCTAAAATAAGATCATAGCTCTGCACCTGCATTAAAATATATAGCTATGATGCTGACTAAATTGAGGAAATAATTCGTATATTTATGTCGTGGAGGAAAATGACAATTTTGCGCATATGCAAGTACTATAGATAGTCCATAGGAAAAACAATTTAGCCTTCGGCCCCAGGTTTTTGTAGATATTGGACATTTAATTTTGTCGGTAATTGGTGGCCAGTTTTGTCGGTAATCATTGGCCTCTACACCCCCCCCCCCCCCCCCCCCCCCCCCCCCCCCCCCCCCCACTGAAAAAGGTCTAGCGACGCCCCTTACTACAGATACCAATTAACCTTGCAATGGAAACAGTTAGATAATCTTGAAGCCTTTGGTATGTCTACCCCATGATAAATACAACGTGGCACGGGGGATTATATGAGTGGCATATTAAGAGTTTAAGCGCATAAGGTGACTGGACCATAATTCATTCAATGTATTTATTTGTCCAATGTCATTCAACATGGATATTTGGTTTGAACACATATAAAATAAGTAACCCACTTGCCATTAGTTCACACATGAAACAGTTTTAAATTGCAAGTCCTCCAATCGCAAGTCTTGCGATTGATTTGGATCAATCGTAACTCTTTGTAAGACGGGGCCCTGTGCATCGGTTTACAGCATGCCATACTAACAAGCCTACATGTAAAAGCTCGTTCAGATACAAAGAAGTATACCGGAGCGGTTGAGTGAATGAAAGCAACTGAGCCCAACAGAGGTCCTACACATGTTCACTGAGCTTTTTGTTTTAGTTACAGATCATGTGATGCGTATTACACTAGCACATAGTAGTCAGTATACCGGTAGACCTGTATTACACTTACAATGTAAGCCACATAGTAGTCAGCATAGACCCGTATTACACTTACAATGTAAGCCACATAGTAGTCAGTAGACCCGTATTACACTTACAATGTAAGCCACATAGTAGTCAGTAGACCTGTATTACACTTACAATGTAAGCCACATAGTAGTCAGTAGACCTGTATTACACTTACAATGTAAGCCACATAGTAGTCAGTATAGACCTGTATTACACTTACAATGTAAGCCACATAGTAGTCAGTAGACCCGTATTACACTTACAATGTAAGCCACATAGTAGTCAGTAGACCCGTATTACACTTACAATGTAAGCCACATAGTAGTCAGTATAGACCTGTATTACACTTACAATGTAAGCCACATAGTAGTCAGTAGACCCGTACTACACTTACAATGTAAGCCACATAGTAGTCAGTATAGACCTGTATTACACTTACAATGTAAGCCACATAGTAGTCAGTATAGACCTGTATTACACTTACAATGTAAGCCACATAGTAGTCAGTATAGATCCGTATTACACTTACAATGTAAGCCACATAGTAGTCAGTAGACCCGTACTACACTTTTAAGCCACATAGAAGTCAGTGTCCATGTGTCTTGCATAATTTGTTTTGGTTAAATTACCAATTAATATGTTTGTGTGTGCTCAGTCCTCTCAAGCAGCGAACCTGTGGTCCCACCTGAAAATTCTCCCGACTTCGTATATCTTAAGGGTAAGAGCAATTTGATATAATGATGATACTGACATAAGGCGCCGGGTAGGCTAGGGCACAGTGCATCACACAAGACCTGTCTGTCATAAAACTAAAGTCCTCTCTTGCCATGTGAGTGCATGACAACACCTGAATGGCGTCACATTCCCCATGAAAACCCACGACCATGAGCCTTTATTAAAGCGTTTTAACAACTCACCCATCTCCGCAGGCCTTACAGCAGGTCATGAGATCCTCGGCTGAGATGTGGACTTGGGTTTGTCCTTTGCTTTTGATGCAGATGCGATCAGATATGGCCTCGACAGCTCCAAAAGCCTGACCATAAGGTAAAAAAAATGATTTCATGGTGAAAAAGTCCAAGCTATTTTGCCCCCTATGTTACCCACCACATCAAGATCTTGGTATAGCCAATGACAGTACTGTTCAAGCTGAGAGCCCTACTAGAGTCTTGTTGAATAAAACTTACCATTGATGGTAACTTTGCCATTATATCATAACTACCATGGCAACATCACTCTACAGCCAATCAGATTAAAGTGAATCTGTAACATTGCCTCAGATTCTGAAACAAAATCCTGGATTTAGCTCATGCTGCAATCATAATTATAAACCTTTAGGTCAGTCAGGAGTCCCATGATTTTTACAAGACGATCCCCTGTCTGATGATCAAGATATTATGATTGGAAATCGCAATTTCTTGTTTTCATAAAGGTTTTTAAAACAGCCTATTGGGGAAAATAAGTCTGGAAAAACTGGTCACTCAATGATTTTTACTTTTTTGAGGCACTTCAAGATCTTTTTAAGGACAATATTTTTAAGGCTTCAATATTACACCATATCGCAGACACTGATAACACCTAGGGCCATGCATCTCAGATTTAACATTCCTTTAAGGTTTTCATGGAAGTTACCATTAATGGCAAAGTTACCATCGATGGAAAGTTTAATGCAATGGGCCCAAGATCTTGAATCAGACAAAACATCAAATAACATGATATTTTTTATGTCCATTAGCGTTTAATAGTGCATAAAACAATTCAACTATACCTGGTAACAACTAACAAATGGCACATACATGTACCTTGGACTTGCCATACTACTTTACGCAGAGTAGCATGACTACCAAATTTCAGTACTTTCATCATGAAAACTGAAAAGATTAACCTTGTAGCTCTTTACTCTACTTTTTTCCCCCCACTATGCTGCACAGATTTTGAAATATAGGCATGAAAAACCACCTCCGCTTTCAATATCACATCCAACAGGAGAGTATGGGTGATTAGGAAGCGTACAGGAAGCGTACAGGAAGGTAGCGCTAAAAACTCGTCCGGAATGCAAAAAGCATCGCCATTGAAAATCATGGTTTAATTGACTGGAGGTAGAACCATTTCATTATGACACATTGCTGGTAATTATGTACCTCTCCAACCTTCATCAGGATAAATATTACTAGACTGTTATTCAATTTACACCTTATAATTCATTGACCTTTAAGGTGTTTACCCACAATTGTGCATTTTGTGTCTTGGACATGCCTTCACATAAATTTTTCATATGTTACCTTGCCAAAATTTGAAAATAAGAATTAGGAATTTCTAGCAGGGTTCGCACGGCCTTACTATGGCCATGTATGCAGTGGCAGTGTAACTGGCAATATGCGGTGAATGAACTGTGCAAAAAAGCAAATACAATTTTGCTGCCCAATTGTGCAGGCATTCAACCCATGCAATACAGGAACTCTCACGATAGCGGTTCACATGATAAAACAAGCTAAATGTGGCTTTAAAAAAAAAAATTAAAAAAAAAATGGTCTTTCATAATTTTGAAAAATCAGAACATTCTGAACTTGTAGGTCTTAACAATCCAGAAATCTCACTATTCTGGCTAATTCTAAAGGGTTGGCAGGTATGCCTTAGTGATGCTTCCATTTTGGGTTGAACTAATTTTAACCCAAGACATTCATGTATAGATATCAATTTCTTTTCTTTACCCAGCAGGAGCCACAGGATCCCTGGTCCCGAACTTCCTTGATGGTTGGGCAGTTGGGCCAGTTTTCGCGAGCATCAAAGTTCTCTGGAAGGTCCTTGATTCTTGTTTGATTCTCAAGCTTTGGAAGTCTGCATGAGCAAGAGAGAGACAGAGAGAGAGACAGGGAGGGGGAGAGAGAGACAGGGAGAGAGAGGGAGAGAAAAAGAGAGAATGTGTGAGAGTACAAAATAATGAAAGAGAGAGAACGAGAGAAAGTGTGAGAGAACGAGAGAGAGAGAAAATTTTGCAAAATTGTTGTCTGCTGAACTAAATTTTGTGGCTGGTGTTAATATCTTAATATGTACAAATGTCCTATTCACTAACACTAGCCCCATTAGCACAATTTTAGCTCGATTTAAGAGCTCTTGACTGCTCTAAACACTAATGCTAACACCCAACTTGAAATCACTCATGGTGCAGTGTCAGACCAACCTGCCATTAGGATTCTTCAAAGCACCAAGCATTCTCCTGAAGTCGTCCAGTTGCCATCCTTCAAAGTTGATACCAGCCTGGTGAAGAAAAAAGAAAAGGTAAATACACATGAAACATCGTCACTAACAACAACAGCAGCAACAAAGGGAAGGTATGGGCTATAGAGAAATGATTAATACCTTATCCATAAACACTACCGGTATATCGGCTTGGTCTCACACTGCATGATACACCCCCTTTTCCAAGAACATTGCTCTTTCCACTGACAGTACCATTCACCAGGTTGACATTGTGGCCTAACCTCACAGAGGCGATTTATTTTTGTGTTTTTTGTCATGCAATGTCGCCTTTTTTAGACATTGACAGGGGGGGGCATTTCCCCCCCCCCAACCAAAAAAGTGGGGGGAGGGGCAAAACGCATTTTTGCCCCCCTAAAAACGCCCCCCCCCCCCTTCAAAAAAAAGAGTAAGAAATGCAGTAAAGGAGTAAAGATGGTTTGTATTTTCAACCCCAAAGAACATAACAATAATAAAAACCGGAATTAAATCACATTTAAAATTCCATTCAAAGAAAAGGAAAGTTAACAGAAATTCAATTCCCTAAACATTTTGCATGCCACCTATATTTATCAATGGAGGTTTTTATAATAGCGATACGCGCATATCGTGGAAATATTGTGAGAGGATGGGAAAGCGTGTGTGTTTTTTGTTATAGGGGTGAGAAGACATGAGCCCCTGAACGCTGGCGTACTGATGGGGGGGGGGGGGGGGGGTATTGCTTATTTGATACCAGTGATTTACAAATGTTGCTGAAATGACATGATTTTCCGGTATTTTTTCTCAATTTCTTTGTAAGTCATATACATGTACCTTTTATGCGTTTGTTGGAAAATTAGAAATTCCGAAAATTTACAGTCGGGCAAACAATATGCTTATTTAGAAGCCTTCATGTCAGGGCCTGCAGAAACGGCTGGGCTCGGGGCTCGACCACCCCCCCCCCCCCTCACTTAAAAGAAAGTATGTTACAGAGAAAAAGAAAGAAAGAGAGAAAAAAAAAATAAGTGACCTGCCAATTTCACAAATAAGGTATCAAAATATGCTCATCTGACCGTAATTAAATGCCTAAAACCCCAGAGCTTATGGGGGCTCCGCCCTCGGACCCCACCAAGGGCCCTAAGATGGTCCCCTGGATGCTCATCTGACCGTAATTAAATACCTAAAACCCCTGAGCTTCCGGGTGCTCTGCCTCTTGACCCCCATCTGGGGCTTCCAAACGTGTTTGCTCATTACGCCACTGCCCCTGGAAGGCGAGTCCCCTGGAACGTTTGTTCCCCCCCCCCCAATCCCAAACTGCTTCTGGGGCGCCTGCTGTACATGTATGTATATATAAACAATTGTATGACACCTGTTAAATTGACATTTGATCTGCATGTATAGTCAAAATCATACACCAAACAAATTCTTAACTTCTACCCTGGACCAAACACTATGCCCTGATGGTAACACTGTGTTCTCCACAATCCTCTTACATGTATGTACCGGTAACATGAGTAAGTAATATTTGTTATAACTATAACCATATAACATAAAATCAAATACAAATGCAAATGCTAATATATAATATATCATATCTTTCACAAAATTAAGCCCAGAACATATGGCATAGCAAAGCTATTAGAAATAGGTGATTTAATATGGGTTGTTAAAAAAACAGAAATAAAAAAATATATATACAAACTAGCAAAAGATAAAGAAAAATAATGAACAAATAAACAAACCTAAACAAATATAGGGAAAAATCTAAGACATATCTTTCAGGAAAAGGACAAATATCTGCCATCTTTTCCAGTAGCCTTTTTGGCCACTAATAGTTAATTGATGGATCAGACCATCACCCTAAAAAGGCCGGGGGGGGGGGGGGGCCATTATGGCCCCCCCTTAAGATCTCGGCCGCAAAGCGGCCGATCGACGCGAAAATTTGCATGCATGTCAAGTGAAGTGTATAGAATAATATGATAATTTCAATTTTTTTGAAAAATTCACTCATTTGCATATTTATGGTAATTTATGCAAATAAAGTCATAACAATCACAATTTTACCCATAAATCATATATTATTCATATTTAAGCATTCTTTTTCACTACATATATTCATTAGACCATTCTGAATAATAATACGACAAACAAATTTGAAAGAGCCAGCTTATTCCTTATGTTATCCCTTGTTTTGATAATTTCTTATGTATTTCATTGTTTTTTTAACTTATGTATTTCATTGTTTTTTTTGGGTTTTTTTTCATTTCTTACTACAATTCAACTATTTTGACTCCCAAAACAATCACCTAAACTTTAAACAAGACCCAATAACCCATGTTTGATCTGTTTTTAGGAAAAATGACTTTTCCATATGTCTTGTACACAAATCACGAAAATGAGCGATTTTCGAACTGACATGCAAAGACAAAAGGTCACATGACCTTGTAACCGTAGGTCCGATTTTCAAAAAAATTCTTTTAAAAGTTGCGCAAGACTCGAAAGAAAAAAAGTCATTGAGCGGCGGGGCGCCATCCATATGCGTTCCCGAGCAATCAGAAAAATTGTGGAGGGGGGGGGGGGCATAATGGCCCCCCCGGCCTTATTAGGGTTAAGTTGTATGTCACCTTCTAGATATTAGGCCTGTGTATTTTTCTATTCATTACTTAGTATATCAAAACACCCTCATTTAAAATAGACGTGATTAAAAAGTCTGATGACAGTACTGTACCTTCCAGGTAGTTTTTAAGCTGTTGACTTTTTGAACTACAGTTGCCTGCATGATGTCAAGGTCGGTCATGGCCATTCCAACGGCCAGCAGGCTGGCTACAATGAGCAAAAGCTTCATGGTGAGTCTATGTCAGATAAGAGAGAACATTTATGACAGGGGCGTAGCTAAGATTAGTCGGTCATATTCAAATTGCTTTGTAAACTTGATCAAGCCGAGGTACTCTAATACATGTATTAATAATAAAAGTCTAATAATATTAATAATGATAATGAAACATGATGATGATAATAATAATGATAATGACATTCCGCTTTTATATAGCGCCCTATACATTGCTACAATGATGTGTCTATAAAGCGTTTGACAGATATTAACCCGGACATCAAATTCAGGCTTACCCGCACCCGATAACGATAATAATAATAATAATACTGATAATAGTAATAGTAATGACAACAAAAGTTATAATAGTAACATATATAAAAAATAATAATAAAATATTAATAATAACCATAGAAATGTGGATGATGATTGATGATGACAATCATTTGATATTGCTGACCTGATGTAGTCTCGATTATTGTATAGGAGTGCAACAAATGAATGCTAGGTAGGATTTGGTCATATAAATATAGATCTATTTCACAAATCACGTACCATCACGATTAGTGTAAAAAAACATACTCAGCAATCACAATTGCAAGATCAGGTCTCCCAGCTAACCCAATGGTCCAGCACAAATCACATGACGCCTAAACCGTCAAAATGTAAGATCCTTAATATATGCTTCATGCGAAACCCTCCACCTTTCCCTGAAATCAAGATCGGCGATTCTGTTCTTCAGGAAGTCACACACCTGTCACTGTTAGGAGTTACTTTGCAATGTAATATGAAGTGGGGTCAACAAATTGATCTCGTCGTTCAAAAAGCTTCGAGACGATTGTTTATGTTGTGTATCTTGAAGAAATACAACGCATCCTGTAGTGATCTAGTTACCATTTACGCATCCCATATCCGTCCCATTCTAGAGTATGCCTCACCTGTCTGGTCTTCTTCAATCACTTGTCAACAGTCTGAGAAAGTTGAGAGAGTTCAGAGACGTGTGACCAAGATCATTCTCGGTTTCACCCCTCTCACCTATGATGAAAGGCTAGAGAGTCTAAATCTGCCCTCCCTTCAAGCAAGAAGAATAGAGCTTGATGCTAAGTTTGCCCACTCGTTACTGACGTCCCGACACAGAGACTTACTTCCACCATCTAAAGATTCCTTGCCCAATTTTCGCCCCCTCCGTAATAATCATGGTTTGGTCATTCCTAGGTGCAGGACTAGCCGATATCAAAATTCTGCTGTTCCTTCTCTTGTTCGTGCAATTAATAAGCCTTGATTCTCTCTCTCTCTCTCTCTCTCTCTCTCTCTCTCTATCTATCTCTATCTCTATCATCTTTCTCTCTCTCTCTCTCTCTCTCTCTATCTCTCTCTCCCTCTTGCCTTATTCCTCAGAATCTTTTAATTGACACATTCACAATTTGGTGTACGTTATATTTTAATAATGGCATTGTATAACTAATTTTTAAAGTCGATTCCAATTTGTAATTTATATATTTCTGTGTGGTTATCTTATCAACTCAAACGTAATTATGTTAATTCAGGTTTTAAGGCTTTTATCGTTGCCTATCTTCAAAATATTTTTCCCCCTTTTTTCTTTGATTGTTTGGTTGCTCAACATTATTTTTGTCTGTTTATCTGCTACCATTACCATATATCAGTTTAGTAATTTGATGATCCTGACCCTACTTTCTCTTAGTTTATTTTGGTATTGTATTGATGGAATTGAATTATTTTTGTCATCTTTATTTTGTATTGTACTTGTCATACCTTTCATTTGGCTCACTATTGTATATTTACTTTATTTATAACGGTATTGTATAATTTGTAAACATGAACAGTTTTGGTCCTTGGACCTTTGAATCATGTATATTTATATGTCTTTTTAAACCGAAATAAATAAATAAATAAATTAAAAAAAAGGCGCATGCAGGGAGTTCACTAAATTCAAAGAGCTTTGTGCATGTGTCTAAGGCTTACACCGGAGTAACCTAAACTAATTGCAATTATCGTTAATTAGAAGAAACTTTGCCACAGTACTTAGGCAACAAAACCAACAGAAAGTGTGATATTGAATATATAAACCAGTTGCTTCCTGGTTTACAAAGTGATGAGCACGACATTAAAATTATTAAGATGAAATGATATGTCACGTTCTACAATATGTAAAAGCAATTACATTATAAGTGGTTAGATAATAATTCAATAAAAAATATCATGATGAAAGAGATGAAAGCAAATGATAAACAACAGACAATGTGATATTGAATGCATAATATCAGTTGCTTCCTGGTTTACATAGTGATGAGCAGGACATTAAAATTAATAAGATGAAATAATATATGTCACGATCTACATTACACAAAAGCAATAATTACCATTATAAGTGGTTAAATAATAAATCAATATAAAATATCATGATAATAATAATAATAATACATAACATTTATTAGGCGCTTAATACTGATGTTTCTAAGCGCACAGTGTTCTGATTAAGAGAAGACTATAACCCGTAGAATTAAATTAGAAGAAAAGCAAAAATACAAAAGTAACATAGATAAGGTAAGAAAAACAGTGGCAATCAACTAAATAAAGACAAATATGGCGAAATATGGCGAAATATGATGAAAGAGATGATGGCAAATATGGTTTTCATAAAGGATATTCAAAAGGTTGAGGTCTAATGGTCGCATTTATAAAACCAGAGAGGGCTTTGTGAAACACATAGCGGATAAGTAGCTTACTAACGCTGATTTAGTCAAGAAGTAAGACTTGACCGATTTCAAAGTGCTTAGTGTAAGAAAAAAGGGTCGACTAGCGAACTCAGACGCGAGTTTGCAAAGTTAGTTGCGTCCAGAAACAGGTAATATCAGTATCACATTATCAGCAATAAGCCCTTATAGGAAACCTAACCCTAAAGAAAAAGTACACATATACATGTACTGTAGGTATGCTGTAAGAAGAGGTGTATTCCTGCCTTTTGATGTACAGTAATCCTTAGGAAAGTGTACAAGAGATATATAATTCAGAAATTCTTGGCATGATGTAATGCATTTTAGCATGACATGGGAGCAGCCATTTTCTTGATAATATGACTTACAAATGTATCAAGCAAACTTGTACATGCACCAAGCTTTATTCGGGAACATCTTTTAAATTTAACAACGAAACCTTTACTTTTCAATGAGAAAAAAATCATAGCTGAGAGGAAGAGCTACTTCAGGGATATCTTGTAAGGTTCAAGAAGGAAAAATTTATATTTGGTAAAAAATGTAGAACAGGGGAACAATTATAATTCATTTATTTGAAGGTACTGAAATGTAGCAGTTGATAAATTTTATTCATTTATGCAAAAGTTTTACCCCAGGGGCCCGTTCCTCTAAACCTACGACAAGACAGTCATATCTTTATCCGCCAACTACGGAGATGTCTCTGATCTTCCTAAACCGTTTCATAAAGAGCTTACTAGCTAGTATCTCGTGAAATTGATACTATCGGCGAGATGAGGAAACACGACATAGCCTTAGTCAAGTAATTTTAGGAAAACTGCAATTATTTAAATGAATTCGGATTAAAAAATGTTGAAAATGGTAACAGAAGATAAAAGATGTAATAGGGTCTACATTCAAAATTTGAGTAAACTATACCATAGAATTCTCAATTTTGTCATATTTAAGGTACAAACTGGAAATTTATTCTGAAATGTTTGTTGATTTTTTAATTTTATGTGTGTACAATTTCATGTGTGCGTAAGTTTTGTGTGAAGTGCTGCATCATCTGTTTAAAGCATGACATGTCAAAAACTCCTTGGTGTGACGTAATATTACGTATTGACATTGCCATTGAACGTAATTTCTGCATAAGTTAAGAAGGCTCAATGCGCAAAGTTCTTTGTGTTCCAGGCGGTTTAATATTTCTGTCTAGACTTTCTACTTGGTTTTACTTGGCCTGGGGCGAGGTTCTCATTCATTAAAGTTAAGCACACACACACACTCATCAGTCTGCAAGAATCTTCAAGTTCAACTGTGAAGGAGGTAGACTTCTTCTTCTTCTTCGCTATAAGTACAGGCCACCGTCGGGTGTATTCTCGTACTGATTGTAGGTGCTGTGCAGGTGTATATATACATGTACATGTAGTGCCTCAATAAAAGGTCTACAATGAGCCATGTGCAGTTAAAAAGACATCCGTAGCTTAAAGGTAAAGACCAGTTATGGTCATGCGATTGCATTCTGAAAGAAACGTTGTGGAATCGATCAGAAAAGGGTTGATCATCTAGCATCTAACATCTGCAAGGTTCTGGAATCATCAAAATGATAAGAAATTTGGCCCATTCTTTGTAAAGTTACAAGCACTAAACACAGAAAGATGTATATGGGACTACCCTATATCTCTCACAGACCATGAGAGAAACAAATTTACCAAATATATGAATTAGTAGGCGGTTTCCCGGCAAATTTTTTATCATCATGTATTAGTCAAAACATATTCTTTCACATGATTGGTAATGAGAGCTTCCATTTCATTTTTTGAAATTGGGGCGTTTCCAATACTGGTCTTTACCTTTAACGGAGCTGGATCTTGAGTAGACCGAAAGCTTCAGTCTCTATATCGTTGGTTGTTCCACTGAGACTACGTCTGGCTCCACTAGACCTCTGGATATAGAGACTGAACGATCGCCTATGCCATCGTACGTTGAAGATACACTCTATGGGTATACGATAAGACGATACTGCCCTGACGCTAAGTTAAATCCTTTTTTTGTAAGAATCGCATGCACTAACATATACAATTGGCATTTAGAATTAAACCACACATGATAAACATTAAGAAAATATGTACCTTGGACCACTGCATATGAAATCTTCTTCAAAAAAGTGTTATTATCTCTTCCACTTGACTGTCTTCAGACGTCAGCCATCTTGAATCAAAGTAATGAATATTCATGCCAAAGTTTTTTAGTCTCCACCCCATTGACCTCATTCATAGACGTGCGCGTACGTGCACGTACATGTACATCACGCTGCTGCTACTCACGTTTGAGTTCTTGTGTTGTCTGCTTCACGTGCACGCGCTATCCTCAACGTGACGCACGGAAGAGCTAGCCGAGGCGAGGTCATTGAATATTCATTAGCCACCATTTTGATTTCTGTCGGTCAGAATGCTTGACGTGGGTCATCGAGAAGCAGCCAAAAGCTTGGTAAGTCCTTTTATTTCTTTTATATTTCTATATCGTGGGGAAGGGGGGTAAAAAGGGAACTTTTAGGGACTGACAATTGCCTAGAAAATTACTGCAATTGAAGATAGACTTCTAAATGATGTATTTCTCCTCAAGTTTGTCATGTGTGTGGGAGGGGCCTAACGGCTAAAATCTAGCCGTGATATCTTCAACGTACGGTGGCATAGACGATCGTTCAGTCTCTATATCCGGAGGTCTAGTGGAGCCAGACGTAGTCTCAGTGGAACAACCGACGATATAGAGACTGAAGCTTTCGGTCTAGATCTTGAGTACCTCTCTCTTAAAGCTTAGCAGAGAGGTACATGTGACGGCAGCGACTCTCCTTGCCTTAAATGATATCAATATCATATTATCATCTTCAGACTAACACTGACTAAGCTAAGGTATAATTTATAAAGGCTTTTCTGTCCAGGCCCTGAGCCCCAGCAAGGCCCAGCGCCAGTCATACAGTCAATACGCATTAGCAATGACTCTCTATGCTTTGCTGGAGTGCCATACAGGGGCAGCAGCGCGCCGCGGCCGCTCCAACGGCAGTGGAACCGGCCACTCGTCGATGACTTTCTAGAACTAACGTTAGAAAGTAGAATCTAGTTTCGAGACTGAAGCTTTCTGTCTAGTCTAGTCTAAAAATATTTTTTGAACTCACATGACAAAGTCTACACATTGCATTACATTTTATTTCGATACACTTACCAAGCAATAAACGAAATAACCCAACAAATCACTTAGTTGCGAAGTAATTCTAGGCAAGCGCAAGTCCAAATCAGGAACCAATGCAGAATGATCGAGATCGCGACTCGCCGATCCGAGTCATGTGATTCGACGATGTCACATGATATGGCGTTGTATCGTCTTATTGACCTCACAACTAGGCGTTGTGGCGTGCGCCTGTAATCCAGCTAACAGTGGAAGTTACAAACTGATTCAGCCGAGGACGCAGGTTCGAAACTGAGTCACGTCTTTCGGATGGTGACGTTAAAGGTCGGTCCCCAGACGTAAATAATCATATCTGATTGATACACGTCTGTAAAAACCAAATACACACACACACACACAGTTGACCTCACGTGATCACAGTGTCAGATATTGTTTCTGTTTCGGTTTTTTAGACCAGTTTCAGAAACGCCCCCCTCTCAAAAATTAAAATGGAAGCTCTCAATACCAATCATGTGGAAGAATATGTTTTGACTAATACGTGATGATACAAATTTTGCCGGAAACCGCCTAGACTCGGTAAATAATTATATCTATCCGGACTGGATAGATATCGCGTAGTCTCATTACAAACCTCCTGTGTACAGTGCTTGTAACTTTACCAAGACTGGGTCAAATTTCTTATCATTTTGATGATTCCAGAACCTTGCAGTACACACAAATGCTAATATGCTAGACGATCAACCTTTTCTTATTGATTCCACAACGTTTCTTTCACAATACAATCGCATGACCTGAACTGGTCTGCACTTTTAACCACAGAACTCGATGGCCAAAGTCAAACATCATGCTTAGTTTTTGAGTTGCCTGCCACTACCACACAAATTAAGCACACCTTGTTCATTCGAAAGATTTTTATCATAATACACAATATTTCAGAGGTGTTTTTTTTAATTTGTAGAGAACACCCAAAATTCATGTTTTTAACTTAAATTTCCATGTAAATTAATCCCAATTCCGTTGAAATTGGTATCAAAATGTATATAATTTAATTTTCTTTCATATGACACCAATCTCATGGTGTTTCAAGATTTCCTTAAAAATATTATTCACAAAATACTATTTTTCGTCCTAAGTAAGGGCCTCTTTTTTGGAATTTTTATACTCCGATTTAGGGGTGTTCGCTTAAAAAAAAAAACACCTCTGAATTATTCTAAAGTCTTTCGAATGAACAAGGTGTGCTTAGTGTGTGTGGTAGTAGCAGGCAAACTCCTCTTTGTTTGACTTCGGCCCTTATATGGTTATCATTAAATATTTACTACCGAGATCATCGGTATTTAGCTAGTCTTTACCTCCAAACAAGACGATGCTTTTTTAATTTTTATACAACCGTTAGTAATTCTGTTGTTAATGTCGATGTTTTTTTAATAACTATTTATAGCATATTTATAGCATGGGAGGGAGGTATATCGAGTTTGGCTGCACAAGGGTCGACACTGGCCGGCCAAACCACTTGCGACAATATATTGAAAACCACCCCCCCCCCCTCAATAAGGAATCCATTCACCGGGTTGATTGGTCGACTAGCTTAATTAGGGGCGTCAAGCGCACCATGGACACCCTCAATCGAAAAAATCCTTGAATCTAACCTATATAAACATGATTTTGATAAACAAATTTGATTAATAAGCTTTTTTCTTGCTTGTTTAAAAAAAAAAAATCAATCCCCTCCTTACCTCCTCAGTAATTATTGGCGCAACTGAGCAGCCAACCACGGGATTTGATCACCAAAATAAAAAGCAATAGAGAAGGCACAAATTATAGGGCAATTTGTTTATTAAATCGTGTAGGCCTATATGCCAGATCGAGTTGTCCGGGGGGGGGGGGGGGGACTCACGTGCCCCCTTAGATTTGACACAGTATACAGTAGGCCTTTACAGTTGCAAGAACTATGTGTTCTTGTACTTGGACTTTATTCCGATTTTCTTTTCCAACGTCATCAAACGTGGTCATAAAAGATCTAGGATAAGATTAGACTAACGTAGAAGTGGAACTTTGGATACGATAGGTCGAAGTACAAAGCAATAATGTAGAGGCCCACGAAGTTCACATTGGAAACAATTATTGTATGCATGTGAGTTTGCCGGTGTGACCGCGCCGTTTGTCCTACCAGTTTCGTTTGTCCGTCGGACATAATGTAGGTGTGTGCGTGTGCGTGTGTGTGTGTGTGCGTGTGTGTGTGTGATTGTGTCCTCGCTTTTAATTCCCCCCCCCCCCCCACTCAGTGTTATTTAGGGTATGCATATGCGTGTTCCCTCCTTTTGAAAACACCCCCTAAGTCCGGTGTGTAAAGTCAATTTTGTGTATGTACGAGCCGGACTTTGGTGCGTGAAAAGTACCCCTTTACCGGACATTGTGGTAACACACATGCGGTCATTCCGACCCCGGAGTGGGGGGGGGGGGGGGGGGGGGGGGGGGGGGCTTTTAATCTGTTATGTTATATGTGTCCTCGATACAATTTGTTTCATAACTGATTTTTAAACAAATCGTTCGATCGTAGCTCATGAATTGTATAGTCAGTTAATTGAATTACGTTATTATTTGGACTACAAAGAATTGTATTTTGAAGAATTATTTATGTTGCTTTGATATTGAATGAAATCCAAATGAAAATTACGGAAATTACGAAATCGATTTACACTAGAAACACGTATTTACGGTGTGTGCGTGTTTGTGTGTGTGAGTGAGAGAGAAAGAGAGAGAGGGAGAGAGAGACAGAGAGAGAGAGAGGGAGAGAGAGAGAGAGAGAGAGAGAGAGGGGGGGGGGGGGGGAGGGAGAGAGAGAGAGAGAGATGACTCGGGGTAGAATATTACCATGAACAAAGGTACCAATATATATATACGATACACATATACACACTTGTATTGTTGCAATGTTTATTATTTGTTAGTGGGCCAGGCCAATCGACCATTATATTAGTGTTTGACATAAACCTAGATGTAAACATCGGCTGTAACAATATAATCTTGATCCCGGCAGGTGGTGTCACTTCATATTGCGCCAAGAAGGGGTAGAGCTAATCATTGGGAACGTTTGCGGATTTAAAGAAAAGAAAAAAATCTATTGTTTTAATTAAAGAGTCAGTAAGTAAGTAAGTAGGTAACAAATTTCAAGAAAAGGGTTTAAATATTTCAAAGAGGATCATAATAATCATACGACTCGTTTAACCCAAACATGAGGCAATATCCGCGAAAATATTGTACTTTTTGTTAATTTGCACTCGATAAGTTAAAACTACATGGCCATATTTGAATGTTATTTTTACTTGTTTTTTTAAAGGCAAAAGGGATCACATTTTGCGAAAAATGTTCTTGGAAGTCTGCAAATAGGGGTCATTTATAACTCCGTTAACGTCACCACTGTGAATACGAAGTGCCACCATGCACCGGGTCTTGAAATACTATGATACTTCTACTAATAATAATGATACTTCTACTAATGATAATGATACTTCTACTAATAATAATGATACTTCTACTAAGGATAATGATACTTCTACTAATAATAATGATACTTGTACTAATAATAATGATACTTGTACTAATAATAATGATACTGCATTTAATCTACCATGAAACCTTTTCCCATCACATCGTTCTCCTCGCAGAAGAACATGTTTTTTCCAATGTAATGGCCTTGTCCAGAAACCTCGATTCTGACTGCGTCTCTGTCTCCCACTTTGGTTTTCTCCACCGCCTTGGCGATAAACGAGGAACCCCAACGACTCTTGTAGAACCTCGGTTGATGGAGATCGGTGAGACCCTTTGCGACTTGCATGGCGACGCGAGACACTGTCCCTGATCCGCACGGGGCTCGGGCAATCTAATCAACAAGAACAAAATAGCATTTTATGTAGCATCAATACGAGTGGTCGGCCTACAGTGCCATTATCAAATCCGTAGCTTTAAGTCATTCACTGTAAACGAAGTTATGTAATGGTTTAAACTAAAAAGTATGTATTTTGCATTGGTTACTTAAACAGAGACGCCAGACACACAAAATGTTATCAGATGGAATAATTCGTCGGCGTTTACATGAACCGTCGAATCCGTCCACTGAATTCAAAATCTTACTTTCGAGAAAAACGCGTTTGAAAGTTCGACATTTTCCAACATCGCTATAGCGCAATGTACGATAATTGATTTTGATAATTTTTAGTCAGTGTGAAAGCCTGAAACCAGCTTACAATCACCATATCAAAAACAAATCATAATTTTGAACAATCGTCGAGTAATGATAAAAGAAAAATGATGATGTAATTTCGCACTACGATTTTCCACAGAAAGTGGCAAACGGAGCGCATTCGACGGTTCATAAAAACAGAAAGTGAATACGCGCAGCACAAAAGCGCTGAATGCGCATGGATTCGTCGGTTCATGCAACCGTTCTTGCTCGTTTAATACACGCGCCCAATGCGGGTCATCGAACTTTTAATGTTGAACTGTTCGAGCTTACCGTATCGAATAATCTGGGTTAGGCCTACTACTTTCATTTTACTTAATGAGACTTTTAATTGATAAATGAATGATTCAGGAAATATCAGGACTTCATAAACATTTCCTAAATATTGATCTCCCTTCAAATTTTGTTCCTTATAATATTGTTTCTGTTTCAATTTGTCTAATTAGCCATCCTACCCCCTCCATCACATTTTGTTTCTCCAATCGTTTTCTATATAATTCATCTTTATATGGAGTTGAATTCAACCACTCATTGAATCATTGCATACTGCTTGGCCTCTCGATCATACCACTTAATTATTTTCTTTATCCTCTTTCTATTTTTCTTTCTCTTTCACTTTTCTGAATCAATTTCAGTCTCCATATATTTTCGCTCACACATCCTCGTAATTTGGGTATTTTCATGATCACATAATTTCATTTCCAACCATCTCTCTTCAAAGACCTTGATTTATATGAACGAAAATGTAACCATAAGCTAAACACATTATTGATATCATGCTTGACATCTAGCATCTACTTCTAGTATAGGAAATAATCCTGAACTGAAGTTTGTAACCCCTTTTCCTTAAGTATGACAGGCAGATTACTACAATTATGTTGGAACATTGTATATGTTATCAAATAATAACTAAACACGACAAAATTATATTTTCACATCCAAAATTTATTTGACATCAATCTTAAACACACTTGACAATTATATAATAATCAATTATCACAAATTAGAACTCTTTGAGTAATGACAACTGTGGCATTGATACCACTGACGATTGTAGTGTGACCTAATCTAAAACACATCATAATCCTATATATTTAGGTGAAATAACAGGACAATTTTCGAGTGTTACACATATTTGATGAATAAAAAAAATTCAATTCAAATCATGTGCCATTCAGTGTACTTATTTTCTTGGGCTATATCATGAATTCAGCACAAGCTACATAATATTATCATGAGTTCCGAAACGATTTGAGTAAAGGTCAAATAAAGATCTGCATTAAAGTGAACTGGTAACAATGTTCATGATTTCACAATCAGCTGCTGACCTGGTATACTATACCTCATATTGTCATATAGGTAATGCACAAGAACAATGGTTTTCACAAAACCATGTAACACTATATTCTCACATATATTTTCAGTAAAGATATGTTTTTGAAATTATTTGTATTTACAGTGGGTTATTCCTTCATCAAAAGTTTTAGACACAGTGTCACAATTTCAAAAAACTCTCTAATACAATGCCGCCAGTTCACTAATTGTTATTAAATGCCCCTTGTCAATGTACTAAATTTGTAATGCGCTTATGGTAACTTTGCCTTGAACTTGTACTGATCTTCAATACCTAATATAAATAACCACTTAAAGAGGTAATGTTCGACACAGTAAGGGCTCAACATGATGTATGATCATGAACCCAACACTATACATATGCACATTAAGCCGGCACCCATTGACACCAAAACAAATTGAACATGCTTTCCCAACTGTCAGCTATTGTAGCTTTAACCAGATGTGATAGCTTGAAATATTCTATTTTACAAAAGTGGGCAATTGGCAAAAGATAATCAAAATAACTTTGATATGAATCATAATTACAACATGCAAGCATGCTCCATCAGTGTAACCATAGAATCATGAAAGGTTTTACATTCATTTGCATCAATTTATTGACAATTAAATTGGGCTGAATCTTTTAAATTTCTCATTCATCACCTTGCTTTTTATAATTATGAAATTCTTAACCTTGAAATCTTGATGTTCTTACAGGTGTAATAATAATAATATTCTGCTTTTATATAGCGCATGATACATCAATACAACGATGTGTCTAAGCGCTTTACAGATATATATATCATTACCCAGTCATCAGATTTAGGCTTGCCCGCACACAAGCATGTTCTTCACTCCCTGGGGAGCGTTCCGCCCAGTCCCCATTTTACAAACGCACACTTGCTCATCCAACTACATTAACTTTTGCATCCTACCGGGTACCCATTTAACACCTGGGTGGAGAGTGACAAATGTAGATTAACGTCTTGCCAAAGGACATCAGTGCCGCAGCAGAACTTGAACCCTGTACCTTGTGATCTGCAGTCGGATGACTTATTCACTAGACCACAACACCTCTATGATGAAAGTAAAGTTGAGTTATCACATTCCTGGAATCTGGTGGTACATGTACAAGAGATTGCAGCACAAAGCAAGTTCAGGACATCTCCACCTGAAAATAAAATAAAAAGATATAGGCATAAATAAAAAAGAAAAACAAGTCAAACTGCATGTGATGTCTTGCCTGCACCTCGCAATTTGCCTATTAAGTATGAACACTACCAATTGATATCTCATGAGAAATTTGGTAGCATTCGGCCAAATTGACTAAAAACAGGTTAAATGACCAACCACTGGATGGCAACACTATTCATTCACTAAAACATAATTGATTTTTGATCTTGGTGATGAAATTCTTCCTCATAATTGTTGGGTGCAGGTTTAATGAAATTTGGACATATACTTTTGAAATGAGAATTTAACAAAAGGTTATTTTTGAAGCAAAATATAACACAAGTGACCATAATTCACCTTTGACCACGACCTTGGATATGAAAATTCTTGGATATGAAAATTCTTCCACATAATCTACAGGTATGATCCTTAATAATGATCGGTGCAAGTTTCATCAAATTGCTTACTTAAAAGTTTCTGAAGTAATATTAAACATAACTTACTTTTGACCTTGACTCTGTTCATAAAATTTCTTCCACATAATAAAGTGATGCTTGATAATAGGCCATTTTCGTAATGTAACCAAATTTAATGCATAAGTCATTGTGAAGTGCCTCAAGACATGTTATTTTTCATTCACCTGAAAAGAATAATAGTATTTCAATAGACAGAATCCGAACTGCATACATTATTTGTTGCCAGGTTGGACAAATATTATGGCTTGACCTACCTAGCAACACTAAATATATGCAGTTTGCCTTCTGACTATTGAAATACTATTATTCTGATAAGGTGAATGAAATAACTTGTACTGAGGCACTTCACAAAGACTTATGCATTAAATTTGGTTACATTACGAAAATGGCCTATTGCTATGTGCAATTTTCATCAAATTTGGACATAACCTTTTGAAATGAGAGTGATTTTAAATTGTTGATGCCACGGTAGGAAAAGCGGTACCTATGTCTCACTCTAGCTATGCAGACAAGACAAAAAAATCTTCAGAGAATCATGACAATTAAATAATGACTCTGTAAATCACTCTGCTATCAAGTACGTTTAAAAAAAAAACACTTGACAGTTGACTTGTACATGTACAGTACCTTCTTATAAAAAGAAAGAAGGCATTGATCACAATGATAAAAAGGAAAAAAAAAACAAGAATGGCAACTCTCTTTCTAGAAAAGGAAATGGGAATAAGATAGAAGAGAACATGCTCAGATCTGTACAATGATCAGATGAATTGCAACAACCTTCAGAAAGGGAGAAGGTGTTCCCACGAGCTAGACACCCACGATCCATATGGCCCACACGATCAACAATATATGATGTAAACGGCACACAACACATACAGCTCACTAGCTAGACACTAGGTGAAATAGTCCTACAAGCTTGACACTGCGTAATACAGATATTGAGTCTAGCTCATGGTCCTTTTTAACTTATGGTCTAGCTTGGGGGCCTTTTTTACGTGTAGGATACCAAGTGTCTAGCTTGTGGGCTATAGCTGTACCTGTTAGGGATTATTCAATTTTGTGAAAAGAAGATGAATAGAATAATCTTGAATGTCACATTCAGGCCAAAAACTGAAGTTATTTTATAAATGCTGTCACTCACCAACTGTGAAATCTTTAGATTATATAGCCCTTGCTGCTGGAGAAGTAGTAGTCACTTTGGGTTTTCAGTATTCAATAGATTGCTTCCTCACATTTTGCAGTCAATCTACCATAATCCCAACTGCAGAATGCCTTTCACTGCATAGTGCAACCATGTATTCTGGGATGAATTTAGAAAACATAAAATATATGAATTAATACAATTGACTACTGCAGCAAATCAATTTATGTGACGAATCGTTCAACAGATGGCATCTGATATGCTGTACAGGTACCAGTATGTTAAACTCGATTGAGATTCATTATCAAATAAGATAATATTCAAGACAATAAGGTGTACAAATGAACCTTATACTAGCATTTGTCACTTAAAAAAGAAAATAATCACACTGTTATCATGTCATCATGTCATGTCGATTAACATATTCTCACTGCACATTCTACCACACTGTAATTTTAAAGATATTGACACAGTGGGGGGGGGGGGGGGGGGGGGGGGGGGGGGGAGGGGGAGCTGTCCTATATTTGAATGTTAAAAACAGCACATGTGCCAGAACCTATCTAGTCAATTTCCAAATTGTATGGCGGTATATGTGACAATAATGTGCAGTCATACATGTACTTACCTTATCACAATTATTCTTTTGTTGAACAAACAAGACATAAAGAAGACATAAAGAAGAAAAAAAGGTCAAACTGAATTACTTACCAGATCACACAGCACTCTTCACGAGAATACAGCCAAAGGTCATGCCAGGATTTCTGCGAGAAACGTCCAACTATCTATTGCTGGAAAACAAATGAAAAGTTTCAATTTTTATTATTATTTGCGAAGTTGACCTGGCCGGGTCCTGTCATAGATTACAGTTTGAATTCATAAACATACCGTTTCACTGGTTCTGAGATAAAAATTGGATAACTCGTATAAAGGAATTCTGTAAATTTCGCCTTGGAAATACGTAATTAAAATTTTAAAAACTTTACATAAAAAAGAAATATGTATTTTTTCTTCTGTCTGATTTTTTATTTCAATTAGATCTATATCAAGAAAAATGAGGGAGAAAGTTTTTTTTACCAGAACTTCTGGAAGTGGTACAAAATCAGTAGCAATCGATCAATCTACCCCTGTTGTGCAAGCCGTAAAAGTACCGTCTACATGGGAAATGTTGGCAAAAGTCTGTTTTATTAAAGAATGACCCATACCAGATGGTTATTTCTGTCTAACCCAAACCATGCTACCCAATCCTGAACTAAACTGAAGTAGTCTTACATTCTTAATAATCACCAACCTAGACCAAAAAATCAGTTCAACGTCGCTATTCACAAGGACCGCTATTCATAAGGTCCGCTGTTCATAAGGACCACTATTCATAAGGCTGCTTTTCATAATTTGAGAAAAGGGTTCCTATTCATAATACTAGAAAAGCCTGAGGGCCGCTATTCATAATACAAGAAGAGTCGCTTTTCATAATAGGAGAAGAGGGTCCCTATTCATACAAAAATGAAAGTCAAATAAGCAATAAACAAAATGATAATAAGAAAGCAAAATGGATAGGGGACACCCCACAGCTTAGGGGTGGGTGCAGGGGGGGGGGGGGACGCCACATGGCCCGAATATTTGTAGAAAACATTCATTGAAAACATACTTTTAAAAAATATTAAAAAAAGGCATGCCCCAATAAGATATGTGACCCATCATCCCGGGCCCTAGCCCCCTCCCCCCCCCCCCATCAGTCCGACCAAGCTGCGCGATTCGACCCATCCACCCTGAAGTATTTCCTTGGTACAAGTGCATATTATCGACAATTCTCGTCCAAGTAGTTCATAGATGGCGTAGCCTGTGTGTGTTTCATAGGGGGGGGGTGGGGGTGTAGCACCGTTGCCATCAAGGGGTTGATCTAACATGTCCCTAATCCTCAGCAAAGGAAGGAAGCGACAGAGAGGGGGTTATAGGGACCTAAGTTATAAACTATATTCAAGCTTTTCGTAAATATACAATACAAGTAAGGATTTTCAAGATTTTAAGCCAAATAAGATTCGATTTTGTGACCATAAGGCATTATGGGAACGGTGGCGTCCCCTGTACCATGTCTTTTCTTTTCATCTTTGATAATTATATAGAGACATCCCCATAATCTAGCTAATATATTTCCCCCGCTCCAGTGGGGACAAGAGAAAGAAAAACATAACACACCCATAATCCTATCATAATTTGCCCCCTTTATGGGAAATCTTGCTCCCCCTCCCCCCCCCCCCCTCAATTTAGAGTCAAACTTATGAACATTTATTTTGGTGACAATTAAGACGATACATTTTACAAGGAAACCACCTCAGCCCCCCCCCCCAAAAAAAATATATATATATATATATATATATATAAATGTCCAATACCTGACTGTCCGAGTCGTCATCATATAGGCGTAGGCGGCATGGGGGTGGAGGGTGGGGCTGGATATTTCATAATTCAAATTCAAATTTTATTGATTTAAAAAGAATCTTCAATTTGTGAATGTATGGAGAGAAAAGGTGAGTAGATCTACACAAATCACAGAACCAATTAAGGCTGTTGTAGTGTGTGTCAGTATCATCAGGACAGAGCCATAACCAACCAGGCCCCTATTAGTTATTAGCATCCCCGCACAGAAATTGTGTACTCAAGTAATAAACATCGACATGTAATACCCATACTCATCTTTCTATTACAATAATATCAAAACAAAACAAAAGGCAAGGGATTGAAACAATGAATGGTACCACAATTATTTGCATACTAAGTTAACTAACACAAACAGTAGAGATCTAAATCTAGACAAAATGTAGTCACTAATTTCAAAGTTAAACTCATAGTCTTAGAGCACCCTGACACTTGCACGATATTAGTTTGTGCATGGTTTGCCCATCGTTTCATGCCATGTTTCTGCCATAATGGGAAGCGTTTGCGGAACATGCTGGAGGATGAGGCCCATGCGGGACAAAACTTGAAATTTGTGGCAGGATTTTCAAAATGTTTAAAATTTTGGCACAACAAATTTGGTGGACGACTTTCGTGAACACTTCAGGAAAATGTGAGTATCCTATACGTATTCTACCTGTGTCCATACTGAACGGTGCGTGCCAATGTCCGAGTGGCACGCATGTTTTCGACTAATTCACGATGGATTTACGAATAAATTGCTCATAATTTGTGCATCGGCTGCGGATACTTCCCGCAGTTTTCACATTACTTGCGCATTGTTTACCCATGTGCATTCAACGGTACAGAAAACTAAGGAAAACAGGAAAGAAAAAGTGACGGCAAAGAGGGTCTGCGTGAATATTATGGCGTGAACAATATTTAAGTATGGCGTATATGGGGGAACAAAAATTTGTGGAAGTGTCAAGGTGGCTACACTCTTACTTAAGTTAGTCTAAACTCTAGTTTAAAATAAAATGAATAGTAGTGAGTGACAACCTGCAACCATGAGCAACACCATGCATGCACCACACTACATTTAGTCTACAGTACGTACAGTCCAGACTTAACCGCCGTCGACACTTAATAATTTCAACAGTAATACTCAAAAGTCTACCCATATTTAAAAAAACAAGGGAAATGATAACACATTAGAGTTTAATTTAAGATTCATAGTACGAACAATCGTCCGTCTTGACCTCGACCTATAGTATATTGTCCATTGAAATTGATTTTATCGAAATCTCTAGATTTACTAACATCTAAATCAACAGGTGGGACAATCCGAGTTTTGAGTTCGAAATATCTGCTTAAATGTGTTATAAATTGGTATAATTTAAGCAGCGACTTCAGATTTTCATTGAATTCATGCATCTAATCTCATAAAAGTACAACTAGGTACACGAAACACAGTTTGCTTACCAATTTTTACATCCCGTTCAGACGATGCTACAGATTCGACGGTTCATCGTGACCGTCTGCTAGAATTTAAGGAGGGTTGGTTTCATGAACCGACGAATCCGCATTCGACGGTTCATGCAATCGCTCCGCGCAACGTTTCGTTTTTAATAAAAATATAAACATGTTTTTGTCAAAAATTATCTCAAATCAGCATCTGAAAATTTGTCAGTAGAAAGATATCATAACAGTCAACGCAATTATGGAAAAAAAAATATTTTGAAAAATTTGCCAAAAATCGACGGATTCGACGGTTCATGTAAACGCCGACGAATTGTTGTCGTAAGCCTACACGTCGGATCGAGGGTATTATTTTGCTCTCGATCGAAAGGCACTTTCTTCCTACTAACGAATTGTAGAAAATCTTAAAGATGGACCTGAGGATGTAGACTATAAGAGAGAGAGAGAGAGAGAGAGAGAGAGAGAAAAAAAAAAAGAGAGAGAAAACAATAAACATGATACTACTGTAAAATCGGAAGTACATGAAAAGAAGAAAATGAAGGAAAATTTGAAAAGGAAAAGAGAGTGAGATTGAGAAAGAGGGAGGAAGAAGGAAAGTGAAATAGAGATATGCAAAGATAGAGAGAGAGAGAGAGAGAGAGAGAGAGGGAGGGAGGGAGGGAGGGAGGGGGGGGGGGGGGGGGGGGGGTGAACGATACTTTACCATGCCTTGATCGCCGTAAACCAATAAGTTGTATGTGGTATCTGTGTCCGGTGTCTCTTTGCCGTCAGTCAGAATCGTCCCGACGATGCAGTTTATGTCTGAATTGTCCGGATGTTCCACTTTGATTGCAGCATTTGCTGCCTTGGTAATAGCTATCCCAGCATCCTTAAGGCCGCTAAGAGGAGACTTGCAGATGTCTAGTCCAAGCTGGGTGGTAGAGACGAGAACATAAAAGACGCCCCCGAAGCTGACATCAACTACAACTTTTCCAAAACCAGGAACTTCGATCTCGGCATCTGTGAAGAAATCATATTTTGTTGTCAATAATAATAATTTGTTGTTTTTGTTGCAGTTTTATTGAAAATAAATCTAAACACTCTTACCTGGTGCTCCAGTCCTTATTCTCCTCCTTCTACGTTCCTATCTCTACCTCTAATGATCCCTTTCCTACCTTTTTTCTCGAACTCTATTTTAATTTTGTTAATTAAGTATCTCCGTTAAACTATGGATAATCATATATTCATATACTTATTTTCATCGATCTCATTTCTTTGAAAAACAAGTCAATGCCTTGTCAAAAATGTAAGCAATTATTGTAGACCCCTACGATTTTATTATGCATTATGACATTCCCATAATGAAATCAATAGTCGTTAAAATCAAATTTAAACAAATTACCCTTTGCCCAGAGAAAAGCAGGAACACTGGTGAATCTTGTTCGTCCCGTAGTTTTCGTCTCTTCGTTGTACTCTACATACGCTTTCAGCAGACCGCAGGGCAGTTGGATATTCAACTGTGTCTCAGGCGACTTCCTTTCGACCACACCAGAGTCGACGGTATATCTGGCAAGGCCGATGGTGGCATGACCGCACATGAAGTTGTACCCTTCTGCATTGAGGTAGAATGCTCCGATGTGTGCCTCAGGGTTGTCTGGTTTGACGGGCACGGCTCCCCACATGTCGTAGTGCCCACGCGGCTCCAGAATGATGGCTCTTCGGACGTGGTCCAAGCGGTCTCGAGCAAAGCGATACCTCTCCACGAGTGTATCGCCCTCCATCTCAGGGAACCCAGATACGACAATCCGCAGAGGATCTCCACCGACGTTCATCTCCATCGTATGGATCTTATAAGGGCTCTTGGCGATTACCGCATCAACCATGCTGTAGATCTGGTATGTGAAAACTTCTGGAGGATGGTTTCCTATAGGTTAAAATCGTGAAAAATACTTTGGTCAAGAAATACCCAGGTAAAAAAGCCCAGTTGAAACCAGTCTGATTTCAACTGGTATCCATTTTGAAGGAACTGGAATATATGCCAGTTTATTATACTGGTTTCCATGGGCGTCAATCCGAGTTTGGGGGGAGGGGGGGGGGGTAGTGAGCACTATTTTTTATATTTTTGTTTGCCCCCGGAAACGTGAAAATTGCGCCGACCGATATTTCGCTCAGTGGGGGAGGGCGGGGTCAACTGTCAAGGTTTATCGATTTTAACCTTGCTACCACATTCTTTCTTTTCATGTACGGCATCTGCCTTTTTGTATGATGTAAAATGTCTTCATTTTTTACTATTTTTTTGGCCCCCCCCCCAAAAAAAAAAAGTGAAAATCGCGCCGACCAATACTTCGCTCAGTGGGGAAGGGCGGGGTCAACTGTCAAGGTTTTTCGATTTTAACCTTGCTACCACATTCTTTCTTTTCATGTATACGGCATCTGCCTATTTTTTCTATCAAGAAATATAACAATGTATGATGTAAAATGCCTTCAAAAGTTTTTTTTTTAACGAGAATTTAACTCTCGTCTCTTTGGCAATGTATACAAAATCGTTGTTCATGGTGCCCCCCCCCCTTTTTCTTGACAAAACATGGGGGGACATTTGATATGATGTCCCCCCTAGAAAAAATCGTGGGGGGGGGAGACGTGTCCCCCTGTCCTCCCGGATTGACGCCCATGCTGGTTTAAACTGGATTCAACTGCATGGTACCAGTTGAAACCAGTTGACACTACTGGTAAACTTTACATGCAGCAGTATGTCCCAGTTGATTAACCACATTGATTCTATATACTGGCGCATCATAATATGCTGAAAACAAACCAGTTGATGGCCATGCAGTTGAAACCAATTAACCATACTGGTATTAAATTGTTACACCAGTTGATACCGGTTAAAAATAATAGGCCTTACTGGTATATCTGCCAGTAGATTCCAGTTTAAAACCCATAAAGCCAAAGTGGACCCTTTGAGACCAGTTGTTTCCAGTTTGAACATGTTGAAACCCAATGGATGTAGTTTACCAGTTGTATTTGAAAGCCATTAACAATACTGGTATATCATTTAACCAGTTGATACCAGTTAATAAGGACCTTACTGGTAAGTCTACTAGTTGATTCAGTTGCAGCACACAGTGATCAAACTGGGCCATTATTTTGATACCATCTGATTCCAGTCTAAAACCAGTAGTTGAAAACCAGTAGATGATTACCAGTTGAAAATTATCTCTTCAATGACTTACTTGTTTTGATGATCTTGTGGTGCTCGACTATTGTATCGTCATTTAACAGCAGTTTCTGACTATGAAAGATCCATTGATGTTTGTGATGATCGAGGACCTAGTAAGAAAATAGCTGTACCTCTATGTATGTAAGCCCGTCAATCCACTATTGATAACGTCAGCTAATAATGTTATCAGGACCCTATAGTTCCAATTACTAGATACAGTTTAAATGTTCAATATCTAGCTAGCCTTTAGGTGGACGTACGTATGTTCTTTGTGCTCGATTGTTTACACACTCGGGGAGTTGTTCATTATCTTTAATGTATTTACAAAGAAATATAGCGCACGGGATATAGGCATACCCAGTATATTCATGCAATAGGTCTATTACAAAAAGTAATTGAGGATTTACCAACACAAAATTACGCCCCATTGATGCGTCTGTGTATCAATATTAATTTTCTAGATACACAACGGAAAGGAATGTATTGATATCATACATTTAATTGCCTCAACTAACATTTAAACTCAAGACTTTTGTTACCATTCATCAATAATTTGGAACAAAATAATGCTTACGGCTACATAACACTTTGCACATAACATAATAAGCTAGATGCAAATGTAATTGTGTTGAACTATATAAACCAAATTGTAAGTGTATAACCAAGAGGCAAGCACAGGAAAAGGGCTATTCGGATTACCATGCAATGTGGTGCACAATAATAGTATTGCCTTTATTGGTATGAACAATATTGGCGTTTTCCATGTATAAAGTACTACTGTGTAATGCCAAGCAAGCACAGAATGAAGGATAATGGACGACAGATGGTGTATATATCTTGCAGTACAGCATACTACGGGTCTCTCAGAATAAAAATCTTCCAACAATTTGAGGGGATCAACGAGAAAAAAAAAAAAAAGGGGGGGGGGGGGGGGGGGGGTAAGAGCACATTTTTTTGGGGGTCCCAAAATTTGGAAATTTTCCCGATCAACATTTCGTTCCGTTGAAAGGGGGGGGGGAGGTAAGGTCACCTTATTTAGGTCACCCATTAACATTTTTTTTACATTAAAAAAAAAAAAAAAAAAGAAGGGGGGGGGGTTCCTCCAAAACACACACATACAAAAAATTGAAGGGGGGGGGGGGTTGACCCCGAAACCCCCTGCGTACGCGCCTGTCATAGAACATGTGATAAGAGTTACCAACAGATCTGGAAACCCTGACCAAGGTTCTCTTCCACAAAGTTTGTTCTTAGTATGTAGGCTATTATGCAAACAATCGAATCCTCGTACATGGCACGTGTCTGAACCTACTTATTAGATCATCTTTCTTAAGTTCTTTAAATGACCGCGAGAGCAGTTAAGCACCTGACCGTAATTAAATATCCACAACCCCTGAGCAGGGCTCAAATTAATTTTTTGTCCACGGGGGCTCTTCCCCCCAAAAACAATAGTACTGACGGGGGCTCTTTTTTTATACAAATATCCATTGAATTGGTACCTATGATACTCCTCAATTATTTGCTATTTCATCATTATCATTTCAATCAGCATTTTCCCTCTTACAAATTAACAAGCTACATAGCTGTTAGTGGCCTGTGTATTATATACGCATACAACGTTGATCTTTATGATGTCTTTAACGTGACATATCTTCTTCTCCCCTTGCAAACGAGAATGAAAACAAGGGATTAAGCGATAAATCATGATTGTGATTCAAATTGATGCGAATATTTGTTTGAATAAGCACTTCTATTCACCCGAATCTTCTTTGTAGAAACAACTTTTACAAATCCTAGCCATGCTTTCTGAGTTGAGACGTTCCATTCAATGTGAAATACTCATATACAGAATACACTTCTCCTAATCTGAAAGTGATCTTACAACACAGTGGCAGATTTGCATGGCTGAGATTTGTAAAAGATCAGTTGTATTATGCGTATATATATATACATTTATGATACTAGAACAAATGTTGATTATCAGAATGTCATTTTGGAATACCTCTATACAAATACCACATTGTCTTTAGCCCGTATCAGTGTTAGTATGATCCAATATAAAGCTATTATTCTTTATTTAATTCAGTATAATGCTTTTCCTCAAAAATATTTTTGCTATTTTTTTTAGGGTTGAGACGCTAAAAAATGGTTTCAAATGTACATTACACGAATCCTGCATGAACCATTGCAAAATGATGGTGGTTCTCTCTCTCTCTCTCTCTTTATTTTAATCATGCATTATCAACTACATATAAAGCAGCAACCAAAAACTTAGGGTTATCTGAGATAGGTGAAAGTAAGAGTTAAAAAGAAAGTCATGCCAAAACGGCGCTTCACTCCCCACTTTGAATTTCACATAACTTGTTAACCATTTGGTCATGAAGAAGAAATAATATTAGAATGCGAAAACCGATATTATGCTCTTGCACCGCGAATCTAATTAGTTGGTAGAAGCTATATAATATTATGATTAGTCCAACCAATGAACGCTTTCTGTATCAATATCTTAAGGCTGATTTCTCGGGTTAAATTCATCAGTTGGCCGGATTATCGGTTACTCGATCGTTTAGAGACGTGACCACCACAAAACAGAATTACACCTATATAATTATATTACTATAAAGATAAATCACGTAATACAAAGTTTGGGAAATTTTGAAAATGGGTGGATAGTGATTCTTTACAATTTTGATATATTTGGATGCCTCTGTGGATGTATTATAAGCACTAGAAAATTTAGCCACTTCTGCTTTCGTGAAAAATTGAATATAACAATTTACCGGTGCTCTCGCTAAATTTTGATATATTTGAAATAGCACCTACGGCCGTACAATAATAGCTGCGACCATGAAAATCTCAGAATGTATAGTTGTGATCAGTGGCGTAATGAGCAAAAACGTTTGGGGGTGCTGACAAAAAAAATCCGCAGCACCCTACTCTAACATGCAGGCCCCGGTGAACGTTTCGCAAAGTGGGGTCTAGGGGCAAAGCCCCGGCGGGGGTCAAGGAGTGGAGCCCCCAAAGCTCAAGGGGTATGGGCATCAGTGGCGGATCCAGGAATTTCTTACCGGGGGGGGGGGGGGGCACAAAATGGCATGGCGTTAAATATTATGTAAAACGATGAAGCGACAGAACGGGGCTTTAGCGGCGAGGGAGCGGAGCGACCAAGCGGGGGTGGGTCTGGGAGGGGGTTCTGGCCCCCTCCCAGAGTAAGAAGCATTTGCAATTTCAGAACCAAATTAGACGCATTTTCAGTCACTTCCTGGAGTAATATGACGTAAAATTGCTTTCTCCTACCCCTTCCAAGAGTAGGGATCTTTTGCAATATGAGAACCACATTTGGCGCATTAATGTCCACCTGCACTTCCTGGAAAAAAACGAGGCCTTTTGATTGGTTACAAGTTAGAGAAAAGTGATCTGTCACGTCTTGAGACGTTGTATATGCTTTGATGCCGCACAATGCACAAAGTCGGTGGTCCGGTACTTCATCAGTGAAGTACTTGCATACATGTTCTCGAGTGTATAAACTGTGTCGTTATCAGGGGCGTCGCTAGATCTTTGTCAGCGGGGGAGTGGGGAGGGTGTAGAGGCCACCGATAACCGACAAAACGAGCACCCAATTACCGACAAATATATTAATGCTAATGTCCAAATGTCTACAAATTTAACCCTATACACCCGGGGCCAGGAACTAAGTTAATTTTCGGTCTCCATCCTCTCACGCGAAGCGCGGAAACTTTGACACTTCATTAAATTATTAGAGAAAGAAGACGACCTGTTGTACCGTTCTCGACTCTGAATTCTTGTTTGGATCCAGTTCCCCACCCCCCTCCCAGCCGAAGCGCGGAAGCTTTGACGTTTTAATAAATCATTACTCTCAATCCTTGTCTGAATTCGTTTTCGCCCATCCCGCGCAAAGCGCGGAAGCTTTCACGTTTCATTAAATTATTAGAGAAAGAAGACGATTCGTTGTATCGTGTTTTTGTCTGAATTCAGTTCCCCCCCCCCCCTCCCGCGCGCAGCGCGGAAGCTTTGGCACTTCATTAAATTATTAGAGAAAGAAGACGATTCATTGTACCGGTTTCCACTATTAATCCTTGTCTGAATTGATTTTCGCCCATCTCGCGTAAAGCGCGAAAACTCTGACATTTCATTAAACTATTACTCTTAATCCTTGTCTGCATTCATATTCTCCCATTCCGCGCGAAGCGCGGTAGCTTTCACGTTGCATTAAATTATCAGAGAAAGAAGACAATTCGTTGTATCGTGTTCTTGTCTGAATTCAGTTTCCCACCGACCCACCCCCCTCACGCGTAAAGTGAGGAAGCTTTGGCACTTCATTAAATTATTAAAGAAGGAAGACGATTCGTTGTACCCATCTCGACTCTTAATCCTAGTCTGAATTCAGTTGCTCCCTCCTCCCCCCCCCTCCCCCCGAAGCACGGAAGCTTTGCCGTTTCATTAAATTATTAAAGAAGACGATTCGTTGTACCAACTCTTAATCTTGTCTGAATTCAATTTCCCCACTGGGCCCTATTAACGGTACATAATGCAGTGTTACATGATATGTCAGTATGGAACGCCCGGCAGTGCTTGTCACAGTTGCTTCTGTAAAGGATTTTTTTCTTCTTCTAGTGTTACTGTTAGTGGCCACGGCCCCTTAGTGACTGTAAAAAACATATGCTTTTCCTGGCCATTTGTGAATGTGTCAGTTTGCAACAGAAATGGAGAAACGGGCATTTTGTTGAAAGTCATGTGATATCACCAACATTTATACATGACTTGTAGATCTATATGGAATTGAAAATAAGTCATGGTTCAATTTTATTTGGGGGGGGGGGGGGGCTGGCGCCCCCCCTAGCTCCCCCACCAGTACGCCAGTGGTTGTGATATTTAATTTCCAAACGGGAATAGCTAATCGGTCGATTTTAGTCAAGAAACATTGTTTTATAGCTTAATCAATGACCTTGAGAGGGAGCTATACAACGTAAAAAGTTTATTATTTACAATTTCAGAACTTTGGACTCAATTTCAACTGCGACAATGATCACTGAATATTGTAGGATCGCATATGCTTCCAATATGTTCATTTGAACCAAATTCATGACCCCATACCAAAACTTTGTATTACCTTTAAGAACTTGTTAACTATAAGGATCAGCAGGACAAGAAGAAGGTGAAGAAGAAAAATAATAAATAAGAAGATTAAGAATAAAAAGATGGTGAAGAAGAAGAAGATTAAGAACATAGATGATAATAATGATAATAATATTAACAATACTAATGATAATCATAATAATGGAAAGAAGAAGAAGAAGAAAAAGAAGAAGAAGAAGAAGGAGGAGAATAATGATATTTATAATGATAATGATAACAACAGTAATAATAATAATATTAATAATAATAATAATAATAACAATAATAATAACAATAATAATAATAATAATAATAATAATAATAATAATAATAATAATAATAATAATATTGGAAAGAAGAAGAAGAAGAAGAAGAAGAAGAAGAAGAAAGATTCTCATCTGATGCATGACCACAAGCGAACGAATAAATAATAATCAAAATAATGGAAAGAAGAAGAAGAAGAAGGAGAATAGTGATAATTATAATTATAATGATAACAGCAGTCAGGCGCGTAAAAAAAAAATCCAAGGGGGGACGACCCCCCCCCCCTCCCCTTCATGTTCATCATGAGATCTATAGGTCTATCATTTTTTTTAAATTTGTTTAATGTTCGGGTCCCTTTGAATTTCACATAACTTGTTAACCATTTGGTCATGAAGAAGAAATAATATTAGAATGCTAAAACTGATATTATGCTCTTTTTATTTGCACCGCGAATCTAATTAAAGGAGATGACCTCATGATCATGCATAGATGCGTGCATCCCCCCCCCCTTTTTTTTTTACACACCTAGCACAAGCACGCGATCTAGGGGTACACAGTAAAGGTCGAAAGGTCATCGGCTTTTGACAGACATAGTCTACATCAATTTTTCACTGGAGCTGGCCTGAAAATGCAGAGAAGTGCTTCCATCTTTCGCTGTCTTTTGCGGGCTCGTTCATTTTCGAGCTCATCAAAGCCATGGAGTGTGAGAGCAAGTGTTTGCAAAGGACTTCCATTGATAAATCAAGCTGAAAGGTTTGTAATTTGTGGAAGAAAAGAGTTAACATTGATGGAGCCGTCACTTATACGCTGTACCACCCGTATCAATCTGTGTAGTGTTTTGTGTAGCTCCACAGCCCGCTTCTAAAAACGATTCAAACCATGCAAACAGCGGGTTGGGACTAGGCCTGAGTCATCACGGGTTTTGCCGAACCCGGGTTTGACTTGAAAATTTCGGGCGGGGACCGGGTACCCGAAATTTTCACCACTGCACTGACACTAAAAATCGTGTGCATGCAGCGGCGGGAGTTAGACTAAGTTGCTGTTCTAATAATGCGACGGAAAAGACAGTTACTGCTTTCAAAACAATAAAATAATCAATTGAATTAAATTAAGATGCTTTAAAAAATAAATGGATATCGTTTCAGTTGACGGTAGGTGTTTTTATCGCTCTAAAATTGAGGCTGCAAGAAAGGAATCACGCTTCGTGGTACCGATCGAGTGCGTTCAGAAACGGAAGTGGAAATATATGACCCACTGAAGACAGAGCAAGAAAATGCCACACACAAGACTAAAATGTTGATCAGACTATTGCAATCAAATCGTAATACTAAAGGCATTAATTTAATTGTCAAAATATATCCACAACATAATGGTTTACCCTTGATAGTTTGATGAAGGAAAATAAATTAAAGCTCTTGAAATAACATCGAAGTGCCTTTCGTTCGTTCTAAAAATGCGTGTACATGTATAACGGCAAGCAGAAGTTACGAGTCAAGCTTGATATGCATGTTTACATCCCTACACCGTCATCCGACCTGATCGGAACAATAAGCATTAAACCAATTAAAAAACATCACGTAAGACTTTAAGGGACTCCAATTCAACAAAATTACCGTAAAATAATTATTTACTTTGACAAATAATACTATAGATATTCATAATATCTTACAGAAATAATGATATTTCATGAGCTACGTACTCGATATCGAGTTCAGCTAGCCATCATTTTGAAATGAGACGTAGTTGTCATGCAGTAGACTGTAGAGGGCAGTATGCAGAAGAGAGAGGAAAAAGCGCGGGCCTGAGATCACGTGATATTCACGTGACTATTGCGTGATTTTTTTTTTTCCTCTCTGCGAGCTGCCGCATTCTGCGCTGCATGCATGACAACTACGTCTTATTTCAAAATGATTGCCAGCTGAACTCGATATCGAGTACGTAGCTCATGAAATATCATTATTTCTGTAAGATATTATGAATATCTATAGTATTATTTGTCAAAGCAATTAATTATTTTACGGTAATTTTGTTGAATTGGAGTCCCTTAAAGTCTTACGTGATGTTTTTTTTATTGGTTTAATGCTTATTGTTCCGATCAGGTCGGATGACGGTGTAGGGATGTAAACATGCATATCAAGCTTGACTCGTACATGTAACTTCTGCTTGCCGTTATACACGCATTTTTAGAACGAACGAAAGGCACTTCGATGTTATTTCAAGAGCTTTAATTTATTTTCCTTCATCAAACTATCAAGGATAAACCATCATGTTGTGGATATATTTTGACAATTAAATTAATGCCTTTAGTATTACGATTTAATTGCAATAGTCTGATCAATATTTTAGTCTTGTGTGTGGCATTTTCTTGCTCTGTCTTCAGTGGGTCATAGATCTATTTCCACTTCCGTTTCTGAACGCACTCGATCGGTACCACGAAGCGTGATTCCTTTCTTGCAGCCTCAATTTTAGAGCGATAAAAACACCTACCGTCAACTGAAACATTATCCATTTATTTCTAAAGCATATTTATTTGATTATATTGAAATATAAGTTTGTGAATTCCATATTTTTAGTTCTATATTTCAAAATATCAGTGTGAAATTTAATTTTGAAAAACCCGAAACCCGAAAATCAAAAACCGGGTTTCAGCTCGACGGTCGGGGCCCGGGCGGGGACCCGTTTCGACTCGGGCCTAGTTGGGACACATAGTTTCGCAATGTAGGGAGGAAGTAATTATAATTTTGACTTTAAAATATTTGTTGACTCCTCTGGGCATCTTTCCAACCACTTGTATTTATAATTTGAAGAAAATTTTGAATTTGATGGGAAAAAGGGTGATTCTTTGTCCTAACCCGACGATTCATCAATGTTGTATCGTCGATTCAACATGGCGAAGGGAAAGTACGCATGCGCGGTAGCAACGGAGCAAATGTGAATATTCATGATATAGAGTGCCATTCGTTTGGAATTGCTGAATAAGCAAGAGGTTGAGAAGGCTCTGTCTCTTCGATTCATGCATATTCAGCAATTTTGAGTGAACAGCGCTCTAATAATAAAATCTTTAGGATTGGCAATTTGATAGGTCTATTTACTTTACAATAGAGTAAAGGAGCCTGTTCTGGCCACTTAAGACAAAATCCTATTTTTAGGACCCTTTACTTCCTATTTATTATCATTTTTTGTTCAAATCATGAAGCAAATATTATTATTATTTAAACAAAAAAAGGATCCCAGAAAAAAATCACGAATTGCCATGACAATATTCATTTCAATTTTCACTGTTTTGGAGCCACTTATCGGCCGAGCGTTTCAGTTTACGGGCGCATGTACAAAGTCAATAGGAAGCGCTCGCGCGCGCCGTGCGTTTCCGCGCTGATGTACAGCACAAGCGGGCGGAGCAGGTATCCCACGCCGGAGCTCCCTGGTGCTCGCCTGGCCGAAGACAGGCACAGCGGTGATCGGAAGTTGGGATCTGAATTAGACAGACATATCGTGTGTGCGTGGCAGGGTCCGGCTGCATTGATTTAATACATGCGATGAGATACTTTTGAGCTTGCGACTAACACAAAATCGGGCTCTAAATCTGAAAAATACTTGAAATAAAGCTGATTTTATGGTACCCATATTTCTTACATACACGCGTAAGATACTGGATTTTTCAGATTCGGGTAGCGGACCGCCGATTACATCGCTAAAATGTGATATTTTAGGATATATTTTTCATTACAAATGTGGTTCTTCAGTGACACTGGCATGGTATGGTATTAGTGGGATACATGTATGTGTTATGCTATTCTGCGATGTTTTTTAGAGTGATTTTACCTTGCATCCAACCAATCGGCCGAAAACTGGAGCTGGCCGATTACCGGCTCCTTTACTCTAATTGCGATTAGTGTAAAAAGGCGCTAGTGCAGGGAGTTTGCTGAATTCAGCGAACTTCATGCATGCCCCTTTGTATACTACACTAATCGCTCTTATCGTAAAGTCAGTATCAAATTGGCAACGCAAATTTTTTTTTTAAAAGTCTGTTTTATACTGAAAATAAAGAGAAACAAACGATGTCATGAAAAATATTTCCTCCATTTTCTTCCTTGATCTTATTTTTTAAAGCTTATCAAACATAAATATTCTTGCTTTGTCAGAGAAATATCATGTGAACATACATGTACATGTTGAACTTATTTCTTTTGTTGGCAACCAAATTGCTGGTGGCACTAGTTATAATTAGCCTTTCATCTTGGAAACCTAAATGTACATGTAGTAGAATATTATGTGAAAAAGCCCAATGATCACTCATATTGCACATTGGTTGAATGAAGGACACTCTTTTTTCTCTTTTATTCTAGGTCCAAAGCTGTTTGTCAAGTTTTCTGGAATTTCATTGATCACTCTTGTACTATGAGCATATACTTGTAGAGGTGTTGTGGTCTAGTGGATAAGTCACTTGACTGCAGATCACAAGGAACGGGGCTCGAGTCCCGCCACGGCACTATGTCCTTTGGCGAGACATTAATCTATATTTTCCACTCTCCACCCAGGTGTTGAATATGTACCTGGTAGGATGCGAAAGTTAATGTGGTTGGGTGAGCAATTATGTGCGTGTAAAATGGCGACTGGCCGGAATGCTCCACAGGGAGTGGAGGATGTGCATACTAAGTGCATACATTGTTTGCGGGTTAGCCTGAATCCGATGACCGGGGTAATAATATATACTGCGCCTAGAAACAAAGTATGAGGCGTGTTATAAATTAATCTTTTATTCTACTCTATCTGCACCTCAACAAATTTCACTATGCATGCCAATGTCACCAAAAGAAAAAAACTCATCAGAATTTACTTTAATTCACTATAGGTGTTGTCACTCATTATTTGATTCAAAGAAAACACATCGAGAATGAATTTTTTGGGTCTCATATTATTTTGCTATTTAAAGTGTTATCCATGACTCTGTTTCACATTTTGAAATATTTTTTTGGTAATGGTTAAATACAATTTAATATGGAATAAAATGGTCCATTCATTTAGAATTATTCTGTTTTTCTTCAATCTCTTTTTTTTCTTCAGATGTCTGAGAAGCTCCACCCTCTTCACACCTAGGCTGCTCTACCAGTTACAGAAACCATGCAGGTTCTATTCATCAGAAGGTATGTGTTGATCTTGTACCTGTTTCAATTTATGGCACTGGTATTCATGAAGTATGCTAACTAAGTTGTAATGTCAGGTCCAGTTGGCTATTTTCACAATGTAACCAAATTTAATGCATACCGGTATGTCTTTTTGAAGTGCCTCGATTGAAAGTATGTCATCCAATGATCCAACCGTTGCAAATAATTGATTTTCAGTAATCAGAATGCAAATTGCATACATAACGTGTTGTAAGGTAGGGAAATCCATCAATGTTTGTCCTACCTAGCAACAACTAATGCATGCAATTCGCATTCTGACTATTGAAATACTTTTATTTTTAACGGGCAAATAAAACAATTTGTATGAGGGTGCTTTACAAAGACATTTGCATTAAATTTTGTTACATTACTAAAATAGCCTGTTGGACCAAGTCTGCAGATTTATTGAGCACCCAGTGATGACCTCTACTTAGGATTTGGTAGGATAAGGAATTATTTAAACAAGTGAATGAACAGAAATTGTGTGAAAACTGAAAATGACATTGATTTTTCTTTTAAACATGACATTTCTTCTTTTTATTTTGTTAAAGTAATTTGTACAGAATAAAGATATTGATACTTGGCTCTCTGTAAATCACTGGACTACATGAATATTGAAGTTAACAGATCTAAAAAGGCTTGGCTGATTCTACTTTTATGTCTGCTTTCATTAATATTATATGAGATATAAACTTTGCATTAAATGTTTCGACATATTGTTTTGGAATTAAGATGTGTTGCTTTTCCAAATACACATGAATACTTATGAGTAGCATAATGTGTATTGTTTGGTAATTTGATGTGTAGTATAGGAAAACAATAGAATGAGATTGCAAGATACATCAAACATTGTGATAATAGAAACATAAAAGCCACATCTCTCCACAAATTACTCTGAATTCTTTGGAGTAACACATTCTTTGGTGGAATGCACTCCTCACATGTTAGAAGAAATTAGAATGAAAATCCTTCTAGATCTATGTAAAAAATATTATCTACAGGCAATTGCTGTATACATTTAATAAACCTTTTATCTTAATAATAATAATAATCATAATGATGGCGTCTGATATACCGCACATGTGCGTCACATTGTGACGCTTCTGAGCTGCCCTGATTATTACCCTGGCTTTAGCAAGGCGGTCATTGCGGCGCTCTATGAAAATGAAATATGAATTGAAAGAAACTATGTATTAGTATGTTGAATTGTTGATTATTTCCATTGCATCCTGACAGATTTACCAGCTCATTACAAGATCACCCTTCCTGCTCTGTCTCCAACCATGGAAGTTGGTACTGTGGTCAGATGGGAGAAACAGGTACACTTTTAAAGGGAGTTTACTTAATGGAACAGGGGGCTGCAGGGAGGGGAGGGGGGGGGGGGGAATATTAGTAATGTGTCCATTGTATACAGTTGCAAAGACTATTCCACTCCATGAACTCAGTATGATGGTTCATAGTGCAATGTTCTGAGTGTGTAATATAACAGAACATGATAACAGCATGCATTGTTACAATCAATGAATACAAACAAATACACAAACAACAATAATTTGTTTGACTAATTATGAAATCAAAATAACCTAACAACAATTGTTTGACTGATAATGAATAAAAAAAAAAACGAACAAACAAACAGAAAAAAGCACATAACCTAATAGCTTACTGGGTACTATAAAAAGATATTGTAAAATAGTGCAAGGATTTTGCTCATTCCTACTCCCAAGACAATATCAGAAGTAGTTTGCCATACTTGTGTATCAGGTGTGTGTGTGTGTGTGTCTGGGGGGGGGGGGGGGGGGGGGCTGAAGTATTATGTTGGACTAAACTCTACTTCCATGTTTTAAAAGAAGATTAGTCCCCTTCATGTTAACATTGGTTTAGCCCTTGCACCCCTCTAATTTGGCGTTTTCAGACTTTTTATTGTACAAAATATATGAGGGTCCAATACTTCTGGATCACCTACGGGCTGTATGTGTAAAACCTACATGTATCCCAGAAATAACTCAATTTACATTGAATGAAATCTCCTGTGAAGTGCCAGGAGTGTCAAAACTGACGGACTTACTATTCTAATAAAAGCAACAAATACAAACGTACTAAAGCTTTTCATTATGAAGTCATTATTCCTAAGTATCATTTGAGGTGTTCACACTTGTACAAGCAATGCTTTTTAGTGGACCCCTCTGTTTTCAACATGTATTTCTACATTTGTTTTAAATGCTTATAATTGATTTGTAATGTTTTGTTGGAGACATGAATAAATTGAAATTGAAATTGAATTCTGTTTGCAGGTTGGAGATCAACTGAACGATGGGGATCTGTTGTGTGAGATTGAGACAGACAAGGCAACCATGGGCTTTGAGTCTTCAGAAGAGGGCTACCTGGCAAAGATCTTTGTGGAGGAAGGTGCCAAGGATGTTCCTGTTGGAAGGGTGAGAGACTGGAATTATATTTGACAAACCCTTGTCACTCAAAGGCAAATTAGTAGTCTGAAGTGTGTGGGCTGTGTGGACTTGCCATACATTTACATCTTAGTGTAGTGGTTGTACACTTGACGGTAGTTGCAAAGGTTACAGTACTAACAACATGTATGTTCTTCAAAGTAATATAAGTAATATGTGCACAGCTACAATTACTTAAATCAACCTCAATAAGTTACCTGACACTATGGGTTGTTGGTTAAGGAGTATGGGGTTCCTGTTCTATACAAGCATGTGCGAGCATATATGGGTGTGGTGACTAGCCTTTCCACAAGTAGTGTTCTTGTGTAATAAAAGTGCACATGCATTTCAACTCGCAATAACTCTGAAGTCGTGGAAGAAATGTTCAAATCAAATATTTTGAATGTAGTGTAGAGACATGGAACCCCTTAACAGTGATAAAAATGATTGGTACCCCTCTATGATAACACATCATTTTCAGTGAGGTAAACCATTGTTTCTCCCCATCTTCTCTGTACTTAGTTGCTTACATGTATGATTGGTAAGATGTAGCTGTAGATGTCGTCAGGTTAACTTCTGCAATCATTTAAGATTGTTGGGACTATAAAAATAAAAGTAAGAAGCATTGTTTATGCAAGATATTAATTTGTTTTTATTCATCTAATCTACCTTGCTTGTGTGTCTCTATTACTCATCAGTTGCTATGTATTATAGCAGAGCAAGAATCAGGAGTAGAGGCTTTCAAGGATTTTGAAGATCTAGGAGTCATTGAAGCACCTCAGGGTCCACCAGCCCCTGTCAAGGAAAGTCCGGTAAGTCCAATCAATCAATCGACTTGCTTCCTAAGCCAGGGAGCTTGGTATTGCTTCAATACAATACAATACAATAAAGTCATTTCTATAGTGCTCTTACAAACTAACTGTTGTTACACAGCGCTTTACATAAAAAGTATCAAAGAAGTTGTTGATCATGGTCAAAGAGGAGAGTTTTGAGACATTTTCAGAAGACATCCAGCGAAGGTGATAAACAAATAAAACGTAGAAGCTCATTCCAGAGTTGAGGAGCACACACCTGGAAAGCATTGTCGCTTTGAAAAGCATGAAGAAAGCTTAGGTTTTATAGAGGCTTCAATCTCTGTACATGGGTGTCAAGTGATGCATGTGGTGAGTGCTGTTAGGAAATCAAGTAAATCGCTCTTTCAGGAGAAAAAAAATGGAAAAAAGGAAATTGTAGAAAAAAACTGTCTTTGGGGGATCACATGGTCACTGAAGTGAGTTAAGGTCCAACAAGCCGCTGTCAAGGAAAATCCACAGGGTTTGGTATGTTTCAATATTGTTTTGTATGTTTTTGACAAAGCACAAAGAATGTTTGCTCTAAAGAGGCTTTAATCTGTATACATAATTATTGTATAACGTAATGTTGTGGAAGATGTGACGTATGCATGAATATTTATAAATTATACACAATTCTATTGTGATGTCAGGAGTACTAAATATGAACCTTTGTATCCGGTGGAATCTGTTCTCTCTCATTTACAGCCAGCTCAGGTTGCTGCTCCTCCACCACCTCCACCACGCCCACCACCACCACCAGCTGCCGCTACACCTAGTACAACACCACGCCCTCCACCTGTTCCCATGGCAGCCCCTGCAGCGGGTGCGACCCAGGGAAGGGTCTTTGCCAGTCCATTAGCAAGGAAACTAGCTGCAGAGCGAGGAATCAATATTAATGTAAGTACATTGCTTTCATATTGCTCTTTACTCCTATCATGCCAAGAACACTGTTCTGTGCATGCGCTGGCGTGCCACGCTCACATAATTGGGTTTCTGGTGGCTTGCCATGCACACATAAACTCTCATTCGCTCGCGTGCCACGTACACATTTTCGTGCATAAGTACACACGCTAATTGTTTATGCCTATTGTGCGATTCGCATTGCGTGAATTTGTGTAGGGGTTTTATTGTTGTTTTGATTGTGCATGCTTCACATATACAGTTACATTGGATTTTCCTGAGAAAATTGCGATGTTTTATCGTCAAATTTGTCAGTTTTGATTATGGCCCCTCAGATTGTGTGCGGGAAATGAGACAACGGATTGGTTTGACAACTCACTGATAGTGCTTTTTTACTTTACCAAAATTACAGATTCATGAAATGATATTGGTATCAACAGAAAGAGGGTTAAATTTCCTACAACTTTAATATACAATTTTTTTAAATACCATATATACGGATGAGATGTTATAGTGGATCAAACATAGTAACACTTTAAACGACACGCACTTAAACCAACCCTAAATTAACTTGGCACACAATGGAGTAGTGGCTGGCACAATAGGGATTAACACTGTGGCACTGGGTGAATTGCATGGGGGCAGCTTAAGAGTTAAACTTCATTTTGTTCAGCTTTCTTTTTGTTTTCCCATTTCTTTTGCTGCTATACTTGTTCAGCTTTCCTTTTGTGTCTCTTTAGTCTCTTTGATCTATTGTTTCACCCTGTTATATTCCACTTTTTGATTCATATTTCTTCTTTTATATTCTTTCTCATTCTTCAAATTCTGCCTTTCTGAATTCCCTTCTTTGTCATTAATCTTGTTTCTTGTTTTCTTATTTTCCCTTTTGAGTTCTATATATTCAAAAAAATATATCCCCTTTCTAAATTCCCTACTTTGTCATTAATCTTGTTTCTTGTTTCCTTACTTTCTCTCTTGAGTTCTATATATTTAAACAAAAATCTATTCCCTTTCTTAAATTCACATTTACCCAACTTTCCCTCCATCCTTTTTCATTCTTTCTAGTTATTTGACATTTTTCTGTTATTCTAATCTCTCTGTTGTTAGTTATCATGATCTGCTTTACTTCTTGTTTCCTTTACCCTTATTTGCCTCTGCAACTACTCATTGCCTGATTTTTATAATTTTTAGTTTCATGATTTTGATCTTTCCATTTTTGTCTCGCCTGCGTAGCAAAAAGCGAGACATAGGCGCCGCTTTTCCGGTGACGGCGGCGGCGACGGCGACGGCGTCAACATCAAAAACTTAACCTAAGGTTAAGTTTTTGAATTTTTGGTATAATTTTTAAAGTATAAGTTCTTAGTCAATTAAACTTTGACTATAGGGTAATCAAGTATCCCCAATCATGTGAGTAGAATTTCAGATCACAAAGTCAAGGTCAAAGGTCATTTCAGGTCAACAGACTTGGACTATGTTGTAGCATCATCATCGAAAACTTAACCTAAGGTTAAGTTTTTGAATTTTTGATATAATTTTGAAAGTATAAGTTCTTAGTCAATGAAACTTGGACAAGAGGGTTATCAAGTCTCCCCAATCATGTGAGTAGAATTTCAGGTCACTAAGTTAAGGTCAAAGGCCATTAAGGTCAACAAACTTAGACTTTGTTGTGGCATCAACATTAAGATTTTCAAAATGCTTCTCCTTCGTTATTTTTCAACCGATTTTGATTCTGATTGTTTCATATGATAGGGCTAGGAGGGAATTTAAAATTTCTACACAGAATCGTGAAATTCATTATCTATGCTAATTTATGCAAATTTATTTGAAATCACAAAAAAGGCTTCTTCTCCTTCATTTCTCGACCGATTTTGATTTGGTTTGCTTTATATCGTAGAGCTAACTTTGGTACACTATACTTCTACACAGAATTCTGAAATTGTTCTCCATTAATTAATTATGGTAATTTATGCAAATTTATTCCAAAAATAACAAAAATTGCTTCTTTTCCCTCATTTCTTGACCGATTTTGCCTTATCTGGTAGAGCTAAATTTGGAACAATAAACTTCTACACAGAATTGTGAGATTTTGCTCCATTGATTATTTATGGTACTTTATGCAAATGAAATGAAATTATGTCCCTTCCAGGGCATCAAATTTCTATTTTTTGACCAGTTCAAAAGTGTACCACATAAAATTTACGATATTTGTTGTTGTGAGATGCGGATGAGCGCTACGTCATTGACGTTCTGGTTTATCATATTGAATTGCGTTATGCAGGCGAGACCGCCGAGAGCGTTTCCCTTGTTCTTTTAAAATGTGGTTAAAAAAGAATTTGGAATTTCTTTTAGTAGAGTAAATTTTAGTGTTTTTAGATAATTCTCGATACATTCAGTAATAGTTTGTACTACACATGTATATTGCTCGTTTTTGGAGTTACTTTCCCCGGGGGCTACATTCTCCTTTAATCCCCTCATTCTGTTTTCTTCTCTATTTCTTCCTCCTAGTCTTCTTCCCTTTATCTTTAGGTTCTATATAATTTGTATTTATGTATGTATTATTCATTTATTCATACATTTTATGCATTTGACGTTTTGATATGAACGTATTTATATTGTAAATTTTGTGTAATTTTATGTAATATGATTCACCTGGATGGAAAGTTTCTTCTTTTGTTTTGGAAGAAGACAATAAATGATAAATGATATATTCTCTCTCCCCAGACCCTTCAAGGTACCGGTCCAGGAGGTCGTATAGTGAAGGCAGACATAGAGTCCTATGTCCCCGGAGTAGCAGGAGTACCCATGCCAGCTGCAGTACCTGGGGCAGGTTTCACAGATATACCTGTGGATGCGCTCAGAATGGTGAGTCCTTCATCCATTGAATACCAAATATTCTTCCTTTATTTGTTGATCTCGTAGAATAAACGAAAAATAATATTTGTAATCTTTATCCATTGCTATAATTAATTTCATCATCATGATCTAGTGCCGTCCCTTGGAAGGGGTTGGCCGCTATGCACCTCCATCGCTTTCTGTCATGTACCCTTGTTCTAACCTCTCAGTAGTTAAGACCACTCTATTTCTTGACATCATCAAGCCAAGTGATTCGCTGTCTACCCCTTTCTTGTTTACCCTCTACCATTCCTTCCAGCAAGATCTTCTGCAATTCTCCTCCTCTCATCACATGACCAACATACCCTAGTTTTCTCTTCTGCACTGCGTTAATCAGTTCTCTTTCTTTGTTTGCTCTGTTCACACTTCTTTGTCACTAATTTTCATCACCCACCTGATTCTTAGCATTCTGCGGAAACACTACATTTCAAATGCTTTTGACTTTCGTTCTGTTTCTTTGGATAGAGTCCATGTTTCGACTCTGTACAATAGAGTACTCCAGATGTAGCATTTCCAGATTCTGTATCTCAGCAGCTTAATGTTTATCTTCCTACAACATACTGTCTTTTCCATTTTCATGAAGACTGATCTTGCAATTTCAATCCTCTGTTTTATTGCTTTGTTACATTGTCCATCCTCTGTGACACTCTGCCCTAGATAAACAAACTTGCTTACTTGTTCTAGTAATCTATCATTGATTTGATACTAATTTATCTGTTTTTCACTTTTCTCTCCTTTTCCTTCAGGAACAAGCTAATGCTGCAGTGTATTCTAAACAGACAATCCCCCATTACTATCTCATGGCTGACATAGATGTGGGTTCAGTACTCAGGTATGTCATACACACAACTTGACAGATAGTTAAATGTCTGCAAGAAATGGGTCGCAAATCTATGACATTTTCCTTTAATGCAGAGAGTTGATAATTAATGATAAGGCCGCTTTATGTTGAAGATACTAATTGTAAAGATTTTATTGATAACTTAAATGAATGTTAATGAAAATGAAATCATTCATAATCAATACCGTCATTGCTGCCATTATCGTCATCATTACATCATTATCATCATCATTACTGCCACTGTTCCCATACTATTACCATCACCATCACAATCCTTGTGGTCATAATTGTCAACATTATGACATTAAAAACATCAGCACTATCATCATGAACATCATTATCATTGTTATTATCATCACCGCCATCATCATTTGATCTCCTGCAAAGGTTTTTAAAATTATTTTAATGAATTATTTACAAATTTGAAATTGAAAAATTCAATTGATGTAGATTTCTACTGCACAGGCAGTATGCGCAGTCCTTCAACAATAATGCCCCGTAATTTTATATTTTTCATAAAAATATAAGTCTGTCCCTGAAATAAAGATGATAATAATTTACAGAATACCATCCCATACACATCTCTATCCCGCAGGTTACAAGGCAGTCTGAATGAGATGGTGAGTGAGGATACCCCTATCACTCTCAATGAGTTTGTCATCAAGGCTGCTGCATTGTCCTGCCAGAAGATTCCCGACGCCAACTCGGCGTGGTTCGGAGACAAGATCAGGCAGTGAGTAGGCTCATTTCTCCGCTCCCATTTTGTACATTGATGTTAATCTAAATCTGATCTAAATCCTCTCTGAGGGACTTGGTAATGAGAATTAATGCCTTACCAAACAGCACAAGGGCATCGGCTTGGTTTCAAACTCTTGACCTTCCAAATATGAGACCTCTGCTTTACCACTGAGCCGTCGCACGATTGAAAGTACTTCATCTTTGTGTTAACAAATTGTGACAGATACAGCGGTGCTCCAATAATTGAGCTTTTCTCTGTGCTTTACTTTTTGTTTAAATAGCGTGTACTGTTTATGAAGTAACTCTTTCACACACTGCAATATTTTCCTCTCTCTACCTCAGATACCATAATGTGGATGTAAATATTGCAGTGACTTCAGACTATGGCACAGTTACTCCTATCATTAATGCAGCAAATACCAAGGTAATTATTAGATGGACATTTAAGACATTAGAAGTTAAAAAGAATGCTCCAAAGTGTCATAGTAATTTACGGATATCTCATTGTTATATTTTTTCTATGTAGAAGGCAATGATAGGAGGTAATACCACTTGTCCATTTTAGACAGATAATTGGTTATACTAAATCAATGTATAGCAGTGACTAAAGACATACTAAACCTTTTTGTCTTGCACTCATCACAAGTGCAAGAATGAAAAAAAGCTAAAGTCTGACAATAGGAAATGGAAATTATAGTAAAAATTACACAGAAAATAACAGGCTCCAATACACTAGTTTACGGTTGTGTGCGCCATTTTAAACAAAGCCAATGACCTAGAGGTCATGTATTTATGCGTAAATTAAGATTGCGCCCATGCAAATTATGATGATATCACTGCCTACGCGCTGCGTTGTGCGCGCACATCATCATTTGCATGGGCGCAATCTTATTTTACGCATAAATACCACTGGCCTCGGGTCATTGGCTTTGTTTCAGGGCCAATGACCCGAGGTCAACTGTCTGCGCATGCACACTGATACAACCGTAAACTGGTGTATTGGCTGTCCGAAATAACGGCTCCATTTTTGTGGATGTTATTTTAATTATGATATAAAGCACAAGCTTATGTTTATGTGAAGTTGGTTTCCCCATTCTCAATGAAATTGTGTCATACTCACCTGCTCTCAATGAAAATAGGATGTACACAAACCTCAAATAGATTGATTGCTCTTCTCAAGGGGCTCTTCCAAATTTTCAATAAATAATGTCTGAACAATAGGGAAGTAAAAAAAAAAAAAGGGGGGGGGGGGGGCTAATTCAAAGGGTAAAGCTAGTTTTAGTACCGGTATCTCCCAGAGCCCTTGCATGTTATGTATCTTAAAGAGTAATAAGTCTTAAATTAGACAAATATTTTTCATCCTTCATCTTATTTCTATCATTGCTTTTATTTGTCATTCATCTTATCAGGGTCTAGAAGCTATCAGGCAAGAGGTTGACTATGTGACAGCTCTAGCACAAGATGGCAAGATGCAAACACAGGTGGGTATTTATATTAGAAGCTGTAAGGGATAATATCAAAGTAAATTTGGCTTTCTGTTGGTGTTGAATTTGTGAGTGTGTGTGCGTTGGTGTGTACAGTGTTGTTTTAGAAGTTATAAAGTCCTGCATATAATGATAGCACTAGTACATGTTTATATTTGCAAGTGAAAATGAATAACTTTTGAATCGGTCATGTTGTATCTCCAAATGTGTGATTGTACAATACTAAGTTTGGAGTAGAATAGCTTGTTTAACCTACTTCCCTCCTTTACATTTTTTTAATTATTCCCCCCCCCCCCCCCCCCCAGAGTTTCAAGTTACTGATTATCCACAAATCACATTCTAATAAAAAAATTTGAACATTTATAGAGTTATCTCAATGTAAATTAATTTGGGATAAGTCTATATTATGCTTCCTTAAGTTATACCGTAAATAATTGTAATATGATATAAAATCATTAAAAAAAATCATTTCATGCTACCCATGGAACCTGACTTTAAAAGGAATTACAACAACTGTCATTGTCTAAATTGGATCTCTAAAAAAGAAATTTGTGATTCTTGTGTATTGGTTAACTTAACAAAGTTTTAAAATTGTTCTCTTGAATTATATTGAAGTTTTTGACTGAATTCTGGAGAATTTAAACCCTAAAAAGGCCATGTTATATAGGTCATCTCACAGCTATTTTTAAATAATCACCTATTAATTATTCATATATTATACAAATATACACATGTTTGTAATCAGGTTTCATGTGTATTAGGAAAGGGAGTTGGCAATTTGAGGCTGCAGCGTGATGTTTTATGAAGCTGCGTGGTATTAATACATTGTCTGAATTTTATGAGTTTGGTATCAGAGCTTAAAAGTCATGAAAGCAGGGTTAAAAAAAACTCCACAAGGAAATCACCCTCTCCCTGCTTTGCCTCAAAAGGTGGTGCTTGTTTATCCATTGCTCCATATATCCATTTTGCTGTCTCAGGGGAACGTAATTCTTGAGTAGTAATTAAGGATAACTGAGGGTAAAGTATATCGGGAACACAGTCATCTTCATCTAGCTTGTACTGGTACATGTACAGGTATATCTTTAGAAGAAAACAATATATCAGTATCTGCTGCCCTCTACATGTTATTTCCATATATTATATAGTAAATGACTTCTACTGGAAAGTCCTGAATTTATTATGGAAGGTAAAATGGACAACTTCAAGTATGATACCCATGGGAATTCATACAGTGTACCATCTTTGAACAATGTTCATGTATCATGTTCAAGTTTATGTTCATGTATCATGTTCATGTTAATGTTCATGTTTCATGTTTCATGTAGTTTTGTGAGGAAGAAGGGACAGAAGAACTTGTGGCTACTTGTAATGTGAGGGTTTATTTATTTTCATTTAGTAATTCATTTTTCAAAAACAATGTCTGCCCCACATGTACATGTACATGTACATGAATTTAGAGTGAACATCTTTGTGGAAGTTCAAAGGGAGAAATATAAGCAGCATTTTACTGCTGTTCATCATTACAGAAACACTAGACATGTTTTTGATTGCCCTGTTTTCTATGAAAATCACATAACACATTTTGCTTTTGACAAAAACAACAAAGACAGAAAGAAAGTAAAAACAACAAACAAACACTGAACAAACAAAGAAAAAAAAATACAAATACAAACAAACAAAGAAAAAATAATGTGAGGACATACATGTATCTATGAAGGCCCATTCAAGTACATAGAACATGAAGATTTATAAAGAAAAAACTACATTGGATTTTTTGGCGGCCAGAATCGCCAAAATGTGATTTTTTGTTGTTGTTGTCTTGGTATGAGATCCCTATAGATCCAGAGGTCCAGGCGGGTGTTGCCTGGTTGTTGAAGGACAAAATTTGAAGTTTTCTATGCTGTTGGTGTCAAATCTTGGCCAAGATTATGCTAATGTTCTGCTATGAGTTAGGACTAATATGAAACGTCCTTTTTGCCTAAAACAGGAAAATTATTTAGTTTACAAAGGTTATTCAAAGGGAAAATATTGAACTCAATCTAATGTTTCATAAAAAATAGGTGCAGTTTTAAACACTAGTTGCAAAGGAGGAGGTTACAATTTTTTTCTTTATGTTTTTTCCTTGTGGTTTTCTAAACCAATTTTACTACCTTTTTCTTCTTTGAAGACAAAATGAATAATTCCTTTGGCCATCAAAATCATGTAAAAAAGGATTTTAACTTGAGATTGTGTCTTTTCCTTTCCATTGTTTGTACATGAAATTGGAAATTAGATCAGGTGTTTTTTATGCACAGGAAAGAGATGGGTAAACCATTAGGGGAAAACTGAGTTTTCTGTAGAAGAATGAGGGCAGAAGATTGGAGTAAAATTGATCAATTAGAGTGGATAATTGGGTTAGGGTCATACTGCAGCAGACCACTCTATGGGCTGTCATTTTCATAGGTGAAACGCTAATGTACATGTATCGTTAAATGTGAATTATCCGAAGAGAAACGAAAAAAGAGAGAAGAGAAGAAAAAATAGGAAAAGAGAAGAGAGAAGGAGATCAATTGATCGATGCATTGAGAGAGAGAGAGAGAGAGAGAGAGAGATATCATAAAATACATACTCAAAATTGTTGACAGAGGGAGAAATGTACACAAAGAAATAGACGACTTTTCTAGATTTAATCTCAATAATCCTATGTCACCATTTAGTAAAGTGAGCAATGATTTATGTTTCTGTGAGATATGTTTCAGAAGTCCAAATTAAAATCCTTGGTTTTGAAAAAAGAAAGGAAAAAGATAGTTGATAATAATAATAATAATAATACTCAGTTTTTATATGGCGCTTAATGCAATCACTAAGCGCTCCCAAACTTGGATATTGATAGCTTGATGACTAAGAAGTTTTTCTAATGTGTATGTCATAAAGAAAAAAATGGGCAGGTCTTTAAAGTGAAGTGATAAAAAAAAAAAACCCAGTCCCGTACCCTCAGAAATAAAAGAATTACAAACCATGAGATACAAAATGCATTTTAATAGCATGAAATACAAACGACGTGGCATTGGCCTTGCAAGGTCAGAGATTATACAGGAGAGAGCAAGTACTTATTCTACATCAATATGTCCCTCGTTCCCCTTGAGAACCATAATGCATATTAAATTAACAAGTGCATCAAAAATGCATCTCATTTGAATTGCATGGCAGCCGGCGCTGTAATGTCGGTGTCAGGAATAAGTTATAGGGAGTTGCCAGTTTCCATTACCTCCCATGTATAATTGATTACATTTGCATGACAAACCTATGATGGGGGTCATCAATTTTTCATGAATTTGCACAATTATTGCTCTCCGCCTGGCAGTCAGGTGGAAAATTGCATTTTTTAGGCATTATTGATTCGTCAATTATGCATTAGAGTATTTCTTTTCTACTTTGAAGATGCATTCATTAAGAGGTGGGTGAAGGTGTTTCGGCAGCAGCCTAGACATTTACTACAAGGTGAATTTTAGCACATAGTAATAGGAGTTAGTTATTAGGTTCGTCACCTTTTCAGTTTCACAACATCATAGTAATTATACACAAATAGTCTGCTTGCACAGACTCTCTTTTGAAAATTAAAGGGTATTTTTGTAATATTGGCTGTATAACGAGACAAAAATCAATACATTTAATTGCAAGAACTTCATTTATACTGGTCTATTATGCTGTTGACTATGATGGTTAAGTTAGATGGCTGGAATGTATGAAAAATGAATGATATGAAATATACAAAAAATCAAACTATATTCATTGGGTTAATATGTGCTATGGGTCAAACATGTTGTGCGTTGAAGATGTATAAGATATATATACTACATGTTTTTTTGCTCATTTAAATCTGTGTTTTATTAAATTTTTGTTCTATATGACAAAGTACATGTATATAAATATATCCTGTATAGAAAGATATGTATCTTACTGTAGTGCACACATTTACAGATTCTTTTGGTAACATATCTTCCCCTTAAAAAAGAAAAACAAACAAGCCCCCCTCCCCCCCCCCCCCCCCAAAAAAAAAAAAAAATAAATAAATAAATAAATAAAAAAAATGAGCAGGCACTGGCATGAGGATTGAGGAAATAAATATATATTTCTTGAATTGAATAGTATTTTTATAAATGGTGAGAAGAGATTTTTAGATACCACAACCTCATGGTATGTTGCTAAGGTGGAGACCTGTTTTTCGTTTAGAATTTCACTGAAAACCTATGTTCAAAACTAGTGTTGTCTTTTTGTTTTGTTGTGTTTTTTAGTGTTTTTTTAAACATCATTGTCTCATAGTAAAAATTGTTGAGTTAATAACTGTGATGAGAGTTATTTTTAGTGTATTTTGTGACAGCGTAGCATATAGGGAAATACTGTTTTATTACCTTAAATAATTGTAAAGCTTTGCACACTATGAGATGTTTTACCATAGTGGTATTTTTGGAGTCGATGGAAATTTCAAATTCATTCTACATATACATTTGTCCTCGAATTGTGTAGGAGTTTAGGTTCAGTAACATGTATGTAACCATGGGATATCTTACATGAAATCCATGAAAGAAAGATATGGATGTCATGAGGAATGTATGTAGGGGGCAGTGAGGATCATATGTTGCTTTCGAGATTGATATATTATGCTTTTGCAGGAGGGCTGTTGTTTGTGTCCCATCCAATACTCGGGTGCCAAATTGGTTAAATCTGTGGTAGGATCAAGGTGTGAATTAATGAGCCTTCCACCCGGGCGAGGGATTATCGAGGGGGTAAGGCTGATTAGAGCGGCGCGATCACCGACCCCCAGGGGTGACGCTGGAGCTGGCGGGCTGCTTAAATCAGCCGACGAGCTGGAAAATTTAACATGAATTAGTAATGTAGTGTGCTCCAGAGGAATGAGGAAAAAAAGACAGATTGATCTTCAGAGAGAGAGAAGGAGATTGAGAGAAAATTAGAGGGAGATAGAAATTGAGAGAGAGAGATGGTGAGGTAGGAGGGAAAGAATAAAAAGGGATGGAGAAGTAGAAAGAATGAGTAAAAGTATGAGGGAGAAAGTGGGAAGGGAGGAAAGAAATGGAGAGAGAGTGAGAAAGAGATAGAGAGATGAAAGGGAGAGGAAGAAAAGAAATGGGAGAGAGAAGGAGAGAGAGAGAGAGAGAGAGAGAGTAAGAGAGATAATGAGATTGGAGGGAAAGAACAAAAGGGATGGAGAAGCAGCAAGAGTGAGTAGAAGAAAGAGGGAGAGGATGGGAGGGAGAAACAAGATTTAGAGAGAGAGAGAGAGAAAGAGAGAGAGAGGTGGTGAGATAGAGGGAAAGAATAAAAGGGATGGAGAAGCAAAAAGAGTGAGTAAAGGTAAGGGAGAGAGAGTGGGAGAGAGAGGGAGAAGAAGAGACAGAGACAGAGACAGAGACAAAGAAAAATACAGAGGGAGGGAGAAAGTGAAATGTATGGAGAGTGAGACGTAAAGTGAGTAACACAGAGACATAGAAAATATAAAAAACAGTGAACACTATCTACCTTCATATATATGCGCATAATAAATATATTATTTTGTGCGCATTATAAATGTTGTTATTATTATTATTTTATTATCTCATAAAGAAATTATAAAATAAATGTACGATCAACAATGCGAAAAGTGTATACAGTATATAAATGTATGACATTCATTTTCAACTCAACTGTATAATAATATTGTCTTGGGGGGGGGGGCGGGAGTAAAAGTTTGTGATTAATTAGATTTAAAAGATATGGACAGGATTGAAACATATTGAGTGGTAACTTGAACACTCTTTTATTTATTTTTACATGGATTTATTTCCTACAGATTTTAATACGTTTTAAAGTATATACTTGTGGGGAAAAATAATATAGATTAAAAGGAAGAAAAGGAGGAGAAGGAGGAAACAAATAGAGAAGATTATCAAGAAAACATCAGTAATTTTTTATACGAATAATTAATTATGGAAATGCAAACAGAGAGGGAAAAATATGCGTTTCTGAATTTAATTCATGTTTTATCTCACTCCTTCTCTAATTTTATTTCAACACAGGGAGGAACATTTAGCATCTCAAATTTCGGTGAGTTTGGAGTTCGGGGCGTGGCTGGTATCATCCCCTCCCCACAAGCCTGCCATCTAGGGATAGGAGCTGTCCAAGAAAGATTTGTACCTGATGAAGATGCAGAGGAAGGGTAAGTCCTGAAGAAGATAAAAAAATTGATAAAATAATTATCTTTAATGATACTATGTCCCTTTTGCAGCCAACCTAAAATTCTGTAGAACTTTGCAGGAATTATGAATATGTCATGTATGCCCTATCTGTGAAACTTAAACGTTAGCAGTGTCATAATATTCAAATTATGCAAGGAAACCCGTTTATTTGCTAGACTTCACTGTCAGACACTTTTGTCAGTATTGAGTGACTGACTGGCTTTCTCTTCTTCTTTGGTAATAACATACATAAAATGAGCTGTAAAGGATTGTCTACATCAATAACCCATTTCTTGTAATGGCCAAAATTAAACTGATTGAATCTTTACGCAGCATAAAACGTACGACCTTGCGGTACAATGGTCTAAACTTCAAGACTATTACTTATTGGCTCTATAGCTCCTAAGTCGATTTGACAACTAATAGTCGTTATTTTCCCACTTAAAGACATTTTCAAGCCCCATTTTTTTAAGGGGAGTTCTAAATTAGTATTATCTTTCAAATGCCATTGGAATTTAACCTTTTCATTTTTTTGGTCTGCAAAAGGGACATAGTACCTTTAAAGCCCCACAGCACTACTTATCGCTACTTGCTCCCTCTATATAGCAAACAATGCCTAATCGGTGCCTGCTGGTCCCCCATGATCCCCTTTTTCTTATGTTTGTTAATTGAGAGCTGATTTGATGAGATAACCACCTGCCAGTGACCTCGAAGGGAGGTCTTATCCCTCCATGCCAAACTAGTGCAGAGGGGCTCTAAAGCAAGATTTTAGTCAAAAGGTTGTTTGGTGAACATGATTATCAAAAACACCTCGTGCAAGATATGGGTGCGTAAAATGCGTATCAAATCAAAGCAGTAAAACATTAGACAAATTTGGCATCATTTACCAAGTAGAAAATGCTATGGTAGTATCAAATTATGGCATGGCTTTATATTTATATCCCAGCATACTATTTCTTTTACTTCATCAATATGAAAGATGAGAATTGTCCCAACTGAACATACATTTATGTACATGTGTAAAACACAACATAACTGATATTCTACTAAAGATTATGTCGATTGATTAAAATAAAAGTTATTTTTGAATATACATGTGTATGTACAGCATGCATCATTGCTTCTCTTGCGTGTGCAAAAAAAGTAAACAAGCAACAGTTCACATGACCTGAATAGTCAGTACTGAGCTTGTTTGAAAGCCAAAAGAATGAACAGATGGTCTCGCCTTGTTTTGATATTATTCTATTCTATATCTCCATATGGCACTCAAAACCATTCAATAATTGGAATCACAAACAAAAAGAACAGATTTCTGTTGGTTAAAAACAACACCCTTGTACATAATTGCAAAATTCAGCCAAGGACGCAGGGTTGAAACTGAGTCACTTCTTTCGGATGGTGACGTTTAAAGGTCTGTCCCCAAACGTAAATAATCATATCTGATTGATACATGTCTGCAAAAACCCAATACACATACACACACATATTTGCAAAATGTCGTTTACTAAAGCACATTGAGATTTGATCTGAGTTATAGATATATATATATATATATATATATATACCCGGGTTCAAATTTCATTTTTGTGGGAGTGATATCAAATTTAAATTATATTCTATACCTCCATATGGCACTCAAATCCATTCAATAATTGTAACCTAAGAAAAGAACAGACTTATTTTGGTGAAAAACAACGCCCTTGTACATAAATGTATTATTTTGTTTACTAAAGCACTACCTAAAGATCTGCCACTTCTCCATTTTTTTTCTGATAAAAATGTTCATCAGTGCTAAGGTTAACAAAACAAAAACAAAAACAAAAAATAGGGAAAGAAGAGGAAAAAGAAAATAGATGTCACCCTTAAATTGATAAGGAAATTATTTTTTTTCTTCCTCTGATTATGAAAGCCTCTCGACCCTGATCATTAATTTTAACTCCCTGGTTATTACATATTTCTGTATTCTTTCTTCTTCCTTGACAGATATCGTCCAGCATCTATTGTTACAGTAACCCTTGTATGTGATCACCGAGTAGTGGACGGCGCAGTGGGTGCACAGTGGCTTCAGCAATTCAAGAGATACATGGAGACACCACACTCCATGCTCCTCTAGTACCTGGTAGTAATAATCAATTCAAACATTGAATGAGAAACAGAAGGGCGTTGGGAGATGGAAGGTGTGCTATTTCTTCCAGTTCTGAACTCCTAGATGGCTGAGCAATCAAGAGAATTACCTGGCTTCACACCAACGGAAGTGCATGCTGGAATGGAACTTCAGTAGTCATCAAGGGTTTAAAGACTCTGCAAGGAAGACCACTTCATTCTCTATAGGTTATCCTTTTTTGCAGAATGCACATTTTTGGAGTTTGCAGGCTGTTAAAAAAAAGAGGGACTCATGTAAGATTTTAACAAATTGTGTTCTCCTTGATTCTTTAATTTACTATGCAAGAATGATTTCTCTTAATTTGAGTATTTTGTTAAGTGGATGTTAAAAGGGTTATTATCAACCGTCAAGGAAATCTATATGCTATAGCTGCTCCGTACCACCAGCTTACTCTGATGACACAAAGGCTCGTATCATTGGGTTTGTGTTTTGGGTGATGTTAACCGTTGGTTTCCTTTAATAGTGAGTATATGACAATCGTATCGTCTGAAGAGACCAAGGATGAATGATCCCAATCTCTTGGACCCCATTCAGACTTGATGCAGGAAACGGCAAAAATCAAAGTTTTTGTATGAATTAATCGCAAGAGGCAATACTTAGGGTAAAAATATAGAGTTACCTGCAACAATAGCTCTCAATGTATTCTGTTCTCGCTAATATTCAATTGACAAGATATAGAAATGTGGTGCACACTATGCTTATCTCATTTAATTTTGCTGCGTTGGTATTTTTTAAAGCCGTTTACTGCCGTGTGTCTAAATGGACCAGTAGTGTGCCCAATCAAATGGCCTACCATGGGAACAAACTCGGAAGAAAAACTTCAGATATTTTCATGTCTAGACATTTTGGAGACCTGTGCCCGTTTCATAAAAGTTATCATCAATACCAACCGTCACATTACTATAACAAATTTGTCACCAGCCAATCAAATGCAAGTATTTTAGAGCAGAGCACGTGACAGCTGCTCTGCTAAAGTCAGGGTAATAATGCTGCATTATGGTAGAGCGCTTGGAGACTTCTGATAAAGTAAGTGATTGGCGCTATATAAGCAAATGTAATTATTTTAACGGTTATATTGATACCAAATTTGATGAAACAGGGCCCCGTTTTGTAGTCTTCAGCTGTGAGTTTTCAGCACCATTGCCCTTCTATTTCTCAATCATTATGTTTGAAAAAAAAATCCAATTAGCATTCTGCCTTTCAAAAAATGTCAAATTCTATATCCATACTAGTACATGTGGTCTAGTGGATTTAGTTCTGCATTGCCAAAATGTACCAGCACATATTTGAAAACAATTCCATGCATTGCATTTTAAGTAGCATTGATTATTGCAGGTAGAAGACATGCACTATCTCTTTCTATCCACAAAACCTAAAACCTCCCTGGTACATATTTTTTTAAATGATTAATTCTAGTAGGCCTACTTGCATATATGCATGTATTCAATATTTTACAGTACGTGTATTCCTCGAACTGGTTTTTATTTATTGGGCTTCAGAAGAGTTTAAAGTGATTTGATGGCTTGAGAAAAAAAGATGTATCATTAAAGGCTATGTAGCCTGTTAGCACTAGAAATGAAGTCATTTCACATTTAGACCCAAGATTGGAATATAACAGTGCTTGCCATTTGGAAAGGGATACTGAACAAAATGTATATGTTAAATAGCATGTGTATGTTATGGCAGTACTAACAGTTGGTCACCTTGTTGGTACTTCATATAGCTTTGTACTTTTGAATTTCCAAGGAATAGCTTATATTAATAGTAACCTATCATACATTCATATTGATATTCAAAGTGAAGGTTTTTAAAGGGAGGAAAGTACGTTAAAGGGGTTGTAGCATGACGAGACTATGTGTCTTTCCCATGGCTTGACTTGGGGGCCAATCGGGTGTACACGATCGCAGTATTCACGTGCGTGCAACATAAGCAAAACCAAAGCGTGAGTAGAACTTCAGTCGTAGTCATAGATGGCGTTAACCAGTATTCGCCATGCTAAACGCCCTTTAAGATATGATGTACATGCTTGTTTTGATTTTTGTCATGTTTGTGGTGCTTAAAGAACCCCAGTGCAGGTGCAAAGTGAGTTATGCACTATTATAGAATTCATATAATGAAGGCAGAATGCTTCTTGATATTTAGAGATATATATCATAGTTTTTCCCTCTATACTTAAAGTGTGCGGGAGAAAATCTGTGAGCATTTATTACCCAACGGTAGCAAGTGACTTGTGACAATTATTCTCACGTTTTTACAGTAAACTGTATCATTGTGTCTTCTTTCTATCAAGTTTTTAGAAACACTTTGAAAGTTCTGATCGTGATTGTGAGTATAAGACTGGAATCCAGCCAATAGCATTGTGCCAGTCACTGAAAGAGGTGGGGGGACATGGGGAAATGGAGATAGAAATGACTTTTAATTCAGAGTTTTTATCAATTATTTTATGTATACATATGTGTTGATTATTATCAATTATGAATAGTCTTGAAGACTTGGTTGGAATTGCACTTCCATACATCACTGCTTAACGTTGTGTTTGATGTTCTGATACAGCAAAAAGGCGATCATGAGAAATGGTGTTTTGGAAGTTGAAAATAAAATTATACCAACTCGTGAATCTTGAAAATTCATATGTCGTCTTTTATTAGTGTCTGAAGGGTGGTATTACTCAGCGTAATTTGTGCAGAAGGTCCTTTGCTTTCTTCACGATCGTTGGGTCCTGTGTATTGACTATGGACCTTGTTTGCTGCAGTCCAGCTTAATGGTCAACTTGATTGCATGATGTATACTACAGTAACAATTTCTCCATAGTCAAATACCGGACGACCACTTGTTACTCTCCTAACTTTAACCATGGAACCAATACTATACCTAAACTTAACCTAGTAGGCCATTTTTCTAATTTAATCAAATTTAATGCATGTGCATGCACAAATCTTTGTTAGAAAACTTTGTAAGTGCCTCGTTACAAATCATTTCATTAACCTGTTACAAATAATTGTTTTCAATAGTCGAAATGCAAACTGCATACATTCTGTGTTGTTAGGTAGGACAAGCCGTGCTGTTTGTCCTACCTAGCAACAACTAATGTATGCAATTTGCATTCTGATTATTGAAATGACTTGTAACATATCACTTAAAGATTTGTGCATTAAATTATTTGATTATATTATAAAAAATGATCTATTGATTACATGTATCCACTTACAAACAAAGCTATAACCATGCAGCTTAGACAAAGGGTTAAGGCAAGAAAAAATGTAGCTGGAGCAAATATTAATACCCAGTAAGTCCTCCGTAGGAGAGGAAATTATCTAGTTTTTTAAAACATTTTTAAGGGGTCAATTATTTTTGACCTCTTGGAAGGGATCGTCTGGATTACCTTCTTGAAGAATGGTGAGTTAATTATGCAGCGACAGAAGGAGAAAGAAGAGTTTGAGAACTCAAGCGTCCAATATTGTCAAATAATGCTATCATCCTTAAGAAGGGGGGGGGGGGGGGGGGTTGACAATTTTAGTTTAACTTAAAATTGAGAATAGAATCATCCGTCCATTCAGAGTTTTATTCATTTATTTTGTTGTTGGACATCTCAAATGCTGACTCTTTCATACCAAAGAACTTGTACAGCACCAACTTTTGGACGAACGATTACTTGAAAAATTACCATCCATGACATAATGCCTCTTGTATTGTAGTTTGTATTTGTTCGTATTCGTGATGAATTATTATTGAGAGCGATTTGATGCCAAGCGTCGCTGACAATAAAATGAAAACAAAAATTGAAAATCTAATGACAGTCATTAATCTCTGGCTGATGTTGCTATTCACAAGTCGTATTACTATTCATGACATTGGAATAACAACAAGAGCCATTATCGCGTTGTTATTCTAAACGGGGAATTGCCTCTCTAAATCAATTCTCTAGATGCTTCCAAACAATGAAAATGTCATCATCATCACCCCTCCCCCTAAAAGTACACAGAAAGGTCATGGTCGGTAGCCTGTTACTGACATCATTGCTGTCGCTAAGGCAACTGTAAATAAACACGTCCTGCGATTTGAACGACGTACAGTGTTTACTATCCGTCATATGTGTGTTTTCTGAAACGGTTCCGCATCCTAAAGCACAATGTAAACAGACCGCCAAACCTTAAGTGCCTTAAGGATATATGTCATCGGAGCAGTTTACACTTAAACTATTTTTTTCATATATCGCTGAACTCTGTCGACAATTATATAATTTTGTTGACATGAGGAGAAACTGAAATGCCAATGTAAACAGATGACACAATTTATAGAAAGTGCATTTTCCCATTTAGTTCCATTAAACTTCCAGATGGTTAATGCTGTATGTGGTAAAGTCAAATTTAAAAGCATGAATATAATTTGTACTTACAGAATTATTTTAAAGTGTAGGTTAGATTTCTTTTGATGTGAGTCATAGTTGTGCCACACATTCATTTAACAAAATTGCTCCACTGCAGAAAAAATTCCCCTTTCCCTCAAAGATGTGCTCATGTCTCCTTTGATCGTAGTACAGGAATACAAGATTAGGAACTCCATGATCTGAGTAAGTCCTAGCCCATCCTATACATGTACTAGAGTCTGAAAGGATCAGAGGGGGGGGGGGGGGGGGGGAAGGCATATATGGAAAATAATTATTAACCAAATGATATACCAAGGGGTTTGATGTGTGGTGTTAAAACTTGTAGTCACCCTCTTTCTGAGACAATTTTTGATCCCTCCTTCCATTACATACTTTTTTCAGAGGGAGTGCGAGGGGGTGGTGGGGGGGGGGGGTCGAGGGGTGTCCTGTTATGACAACAAAAACCTAATTTACTTTCTAAACTAGGTTCACGGTTTACTGCTCTGTTATGACATCTCTGTTTATATCGAACCTACGATGATTTCAGCAGTGGATAAATATAGCAAGGAAATGTCCAGTTGTAACCATCCTTCAATTACAGTGTAAACACAGCAGATTTGTATGTCGGACAACTCCGCATTAGCCCAGCGTGTTAGTGTTAGTACTTCATTTGTGCTATGCTATGTCGGGGATTTGAAAGAGCCGCCGCGTTGACAAGAAAGAAAGAGAGAGAGAGAGAGAGAGAGAGAGATAGTGTGTGTGTGTGTGTGTGTGTTTGTGTGTGTATGTATGTGTTTGGTGTAGGGGGGGGGGGGGGGTTAAATGCTTTGTTGGTGACTGGAATGAGATACCATGACCTTAGTCTGAAATGGTTTTCTCCTTAAGAATTGGAAGATTTGTCAGCTAGACATCAAGATTCTGTTTTCTTCATGGTGAATTTTCCTCTTGAGGATCCGGAAGGTTGACCAGGAGGGGGAGGAGGGGGTTGCTTAGTATCCGTCTCTATTCATTTCAATACTCATATCAAAATAGAAAGCCTATTACGGGAAGATTATCGTCGAACAAACCGTACGTAATCAACAAGTTTCAAAGCCATCCGTATCATTAGCAATACATAATGATATGGAAATAAAACTCATAGTGATATCGTACGCCTCTATTTACCACTAATGACCATTAAAACAAATGTTTTTAAAGCATTCAAAGCTGCATGGT